GAATTTTCTAAGCATATCTACTGTGACATGTCTCCATACTTTAATGTTCAAAAATCTCTTTATTGTTCTCATACTGCCTGTGCTGCAGCACCTCTTTTCACCCTCTGTCTGAAACCAGAGCGCAGTCTGCTCTGATTGGTTAGCTGGCCGACTCTGTTGTGATTGGTCAACCACTTAGGGATGTCCCGCCCCTTAGCCTATCTCGTACAATGAGTTGGAGCGCTAGCCAATAGAATAGTCATACTTATAATATATAATTTTGTAAACATAACCACAAGAAAAGCAGTTTTTGAGCAGTGCGCCCACTCTAGCTAACCCTGCAAAGGTGTGTGTGTGTGTGTGTGTGTGTGTGTGTGTGTGTGTGTGTGTGTGGTGTGTGTGTGTGTGTGTGTGTGTGTGTGTGTGTGTGGTGTGTGGTGTGTGTGTGTGTGTGTGTGTGTGTGGTGTGTGTGTGTGTGTGTGTGTGTGGTGTGTGTGTGTGTGTGTGTGTGTGTGTGTGTGTGTGTGTGTGTGTGTGTGTGTGGTGTGTGTGTTGTGTGTGTGTGTGTGTGTGTGTGTGTGTGTGTGTGTGTGTGTGTGTGTGTGTGTGTGTGTGTGTGTGTGTGTGTGTGTGTGTGTGTGTGTGTGTTGTGTGTGTGTGTGTGTGTGTGTGTGTGTGTGTGTGTGTGTGTGTGTGTGTGTGTGTGTGTGTGTGTGTGTGTGTGTGTGTGTGTGTGTGCGTGCTATCATACTATCACCACATGCTAGGTCTTACAGGAATTTAATGAATAAAACAATGTAATTTGTTTCTGGCATCGGGCCAAGACAAGCTAAAGGACTGGTAGAGAGGAATTTCCATCACACACACAAACATCCCACACTTTTTTTCATGGCAATAATATATACTGGTATGTATGCATGTCCAGAGCAATAATCAAGAATGTCTTCACTGATTTGAAATGAGCAGATTTTCATAATGAACTGAGATTAATTTAAATACTTTTGTTACTGATGTTGTGATAATGCACACTGCTCCTCAGTGTCTATATCAATGTAAGGCTGAGGATGATGTTGAAACAAGAAATAACTGCAGCTCGTGCTGAACCTGAACATGATCGCCATCTTTATATTAAATTCCTCCGCGCTTGTTTCACTCTCCCTCCTCATTAACGTCCACAGGATGCAAATATGTAGCTGCAGCAACATATGCTCCCCATCCCCCTCACCAACTCTGAACCCAGGTCTAACGAATGAAGGCAAAGTCAATACATAAACCATTAACTGTGAGGTTTAAATGTCAAGACTCAGCTTTAATTTAAGGGTGTTTTCAGCTTTATTAGATTAACAGTTTTTTTTATTAAAGTCACACCATCTTTAGACTGGACAATGGTCCCTAAAGAAACATTTGAGGCTCACATTGGAAACATATTGGTTGGTCACATGACCTAAACCCATGTGATCATGTGTTTTTAACGCTGAAATAATGTATAGGGGAAGCATACAAATGTAATTAGATAGGGAGTCTGTCCTGACACCAGATATATTATAGAAATATAAATAATCTTTATTTTAAATGAGTGTTATGTCACTTTGTTTACTTCCAGAACAAAGTGACATAACACTCGCCCTTCTATTGGCTAGTGCTCCAACACATTGTACCTGATAGACTAAGGGACGGGACATCTCTGAGCGGTTGACCAATCACAACAGAGCCGGCCAGCTAACCAATCAGAGCAGACTGGGCTCTGGTTTCAGACAGAGGGTGAAAAGAGGTGCTGCAGCACAGACAGTATGAGAAAAATAAAGAGCCTTTTGAACATTAGAGCATGGAGACATGTCACAGTAGAGACACTACATACTGATATACACCTGAACATCAGCAGGAGAGGACTCTTTAAAGTAGAGACACTACATACTGATATACACCTGAACATCAGCAGGAGAGGACTCTTTAAAGTAGAGACACTACATACTGATATACACCTGGACATCAGCAGGAGAGGACTCTTTAAAGTAGAGACACTACATACTGATATACACCTGAACATTAGCAGGAGAGGACTCTTTAAAGTAGAGACACTACATACTGATATACACCTGAACATCAGCAGGAGAGGACTCTTTAAAGTAGAGACACTACATACTGATATACACCTGAACATCAGCAGGAGAGGACTCTTTAAAGTAGAGACACTACATACTGATATACACCTGAACATCAGCAGGAGAGGACTCTTTAAAGTAGAGACACTACATACTGATATACACCTGAACATCAGCAGGAGAGGACTCTTTAAAGTAGAGACACTACATACTGATATGCACCTGAACCTCAGCAGGAGAGGACTCTTTAAAGTAGAGACACTACATACTGATATACACCTGCGCATCAGCATGAGAGGACTCTTTAAAGTAGAGACACTACATACTGATATACACCTGAACATCAGCATGAGAGGACTCTTTAAAGTAGAGACACTACATACTGATATACACCTGAACATCAGCAGGAGAGGACTCTTTAAAGTAGAGACACTACATACTGATATACACCTGAACATCAGCATGAGAGGACTCTTTAAAGTAGAGACACTACATACTGATATACACCTGAACATCAGCAGGAGAGGACTCTTTAAAGTAGAGACACTACATACTGATATACACCTGAACATCAGCAGGAGAGGACTCTTTAAAATAGAGACACTACATACTGATATGCACCTGAGCATCAGCAGGAGAGGACTCTTTAAAGTAGAGAGACTACATACTGATATACACCTGAACATCAGCATGAGAGGACTCTTTAAAGTAGAGACACTACATACTGATATACACCTGAACATCAGCAGGAGAGGACTCTTTAAAGTAGATACACTACATACTGATATGCACCTGAACATCAGCAGGAGAGGACTCTTTAAAGTAGAGACACTACATACTGATATACACCTGAACATCAGCAGGAGAGGACTCTTTAAAGTAGATACACTACATACTGATATGCACCTGAACATCAGCAGGAGAGGACTCTTTAAAGTAGAGACACTACATACTGATATACACCTGAACATCAGCAGGAGAGGACTCTTTAAAGTAGAGAGACTACATACTGATATACACCTGAACATCAGCATGAGAGGACTCTTTAAAGTAGAGACACTACATACTGATATACACCTGAGCATCAGCAGGAGAGGACTCTTTAAAGTAGAGAGACTACATACTGATATACACCTGAACATCAGCATGAGAGGACTCTTTAAAGTAGAGACACTACATACTGATATGCACCTGAACATCAGCAGGAGAGGACTCTTTAAAGTAGAGACACTACATACTGATATACACCCGCGCATCAGCAGGAGAGGACTCTTTAAAGTAGAGACACTACATACTGATATACACCTGAACATCAGCAGGAGAGGACTCTTTAAAGTAGAGACACTACATACTGATATACAGCTGAGCATCAGCAGGCGAGGACTCTTTAAAGTAGAGACACTACATACTGATATACACCTGAACATCAGCATGAGAGGACTCTTTAAAGTAGAGACACTACATACTGATATACACCTGAACATCAGCATGAGAGGACTCTTTAAAGTAGAGACACTACATACTGATATACACCTGAACATCAGCATGAGAGGACTCTTTAAAGTAGACACTACATACTAATAACCTGAAAGATAGCAGAGTAGGGCCCCTTTACTTCCCCCAATACCCTCAAATTAAAAGGTGCACGTATCTGGTTTTTACCACATAGTGAGTGTTTTATCTCATATTAAAAAACTTGTCTTGTTCTCTCTCAGATAGTTCAAGTATTTCTCAAAGTCAGGAAGTTAATTGCATTAAAAATGAGCCTTTCTGCCTGACAAAAATATTTCCCATCACTAGTTATTTTACTACAAAAAGACACTTCAAATGTTCTTTCTGCTTTCTTGTAACGTTGTCATGAGGTCGACCGTAATATTTTGATAACAGAGGAATACATATTTTTTTTTCGGCTAATATATTCCTGCAGTGTTAATTATGTGGCCTGACAAGTGGCTACACTTGAAGTGCGTGTGTGTGTGTGTGTGTGTGTGTGTTTGTGTGTGGGTGTGTCTTTGCTCCAGTAACCTTCTCTGTTCCATGCAAAAATGCACACACACACACACACACACACACACACACACACACACACACACACACACACACACACACACACACACACACACACACACACACATCCACGTGTCTTTGTCTCCCTTTCTCCATCTCCCTTTAATGGAGGATGAGGTGGGGGGGTGAGGAAGGTGGGGGGAGGGGGGGTCAGTTGGAAAATTGCAATATGTATTTATGTTTCGCTGTATGTGGTTGCCAGGCAACAGCAGAGCGAGGTGTATGTACAGTTAATAAAAAAAGTGAGTGACATTAGCCTGGTGTATTAGAGGTAAAGCGCTAATTTGCTTCAAATAGTATGAAGGAAAAAAAGGGTTTGTGTGTGTGTAGGTGCACATGTGTGTGTGGGTCTATTGTCGGTGTATATGAATAATAAGCGCTTGCCCAGCCTCATGTGTTTTTTCTGTGTGTGTGTGTGTGTGTGTGTGTGTGTGTGTGTTTTATGCTCTCACATCATTGTCTAGATATGTGTATCTAAAAACAGCTCCATTGTCTGAAAGAATGCACATGTGTGAATGTGATTTTTTTCGGATTCGTTTCCAATATTAAAAACAAATATTTACACCCTTCACATTTCAGATTGAAAACTGCTTTGTGCTGTTATATTTTATATTTTTCATTTTGATTTTTTGGTTGCAGTGGGAGAGCAGTGGGGGCTGTGCATCAGCAAAATAAACCCTATGTTCCTAACCCTTCAAAAGATGAAATAAAGTCTCCAAAATGCTTTAACTTGCAGTTTGACAGCTTCCTTACGGTGTTTGTGTTATGTAGTGTTTAAGCTGCTGTCATTTTGTTGTTCTGATATCAAACATGTCCTCTTGCATTAACATCACATCTCTTTTTCCCCGTAGGCTTTGAAAGCATCTTGGAAGGCTTGTTTGGGCCGGGACTAGTCAACGAAATCACTCTTTTCCAAGGTAAACGAACACAAACACAAACACAAATGCTGTTCCACTTATTTTAAATAAAAAACAACCTTATTTTGAACAAAAATTACTAATTCATGTTCAAAAATCTTAACTTATGACACATAAATGACCAAAAACTGTAAATCTAACAAACAAATCAATAAGGAAAATAAATCTATAAAACAATATTGAAGTTTTTCTGCCAGTTATTACATTGATTCAGTTTTCCTATATCTTGTGAAAAAGTGTTTTTGTACATGTACTGTATGGCTTCATTTAAGGCTTTAAAACGAGCATACTTTTTGACTAAGTGTGAGAAACAATATGGAGGAATATACCAGAATGACAATAAACAGTGCTTCCTTATCTATTAATCAATACAATACGATACTTACATACATGTATTGCCATGCCAACATAATTGCCAATACTGCCAGAACAGCTTAGAATACATAACAATATGATTAATTCATACGACGGCCATGTGTAATTTATGCCAAATATGGCATGCTGGAAAATCCTGACAGATGTCGAGAAAGAAAAACAAGAAGCTGGTTTCTGATGCTCTCGTTGTCTGTTTTTGAAGCTTAAAAGCACTAAAATGCTTATTTTAAAACAGTATGAGTGACATACAGAAGCTGCTTTCCAGAATAACAAGTCTGTCTGCTCTGGTGTTGGGTTTCTGACAGGTGACGACCGACGTCATAGATTTTCACCATAGATGTACAGATTACATTTTAATTTAAATGTGGACCTTTTTATTTAAGAGGCAACTCAGAGAAAAGGAAGCCCCCACAGACTGATCAAAAGATGAGGGTTCAATGAAAAAAAATACCTTTGTTTACTTGGAACTAATAAGTTATATTGCCGAGTTAAACTGTTAAAGAGGCATTATTATGCTTTTGGGGGTTTCCCCTCTCCTTTAGTGTGTTATATAGGTTAGTGTGCATGTACATAGTCTGCGAAGGCTACAATATCCCTCCATTGGACTGCTTTGTTTACTTCTGGAACATAGTGACATCACTATAAAACAATGTATTGGCTAGCGCTCCAACATATTGTACGTGATAGGCTAAGGGGCGGGACATCTCTAAGTGGTTGACCAATCACAACAGAGCCGGCCAGCTAACCAATCAGAGCAGCTCTGGTTTCAGACAGAGGGTGAAAAGAGGTGCTGCAGCACAGGCAGTATGAGACAAATAAAGAGCTTTTTGAACATTAAAGGATGGAGACATGTCACAGGAGAGACACTTAACCTGTTAAACCCGGGGGCAGGGGCTCCCGCAACATCTTGCAATAAACAGCATCTGAGGGCTTCTTAACATTTAACAAACTATGAATGTGTCATACCCACTTAACGGGAAGAAACTCAGCTACCTTGCGATATGAACAATCTTTACCAAAACAAAACATAAGTCTAACGCCGAGCCTCTGAATTAGCACTAAACGAAAGAATGCTAACGCACTTAGCACATAACTCACGTTAGCGATCTTTTATACTTCATCGTCTCTGCACAAACCATATGAAAGCTGAGATTCCACAGATTCCAATGGTATACGTATCATCACTGAGCGACCAAAACTCGCGGCAGCGAAAGCCAGCAAAGACAACAAACTCTTACCTTTGCTGTTTTCTGATCAAAAGTTGTGTTCAATGGCAATAAACGCATACAAATGCTGCTGAAGATTAATCCAATGTCTCTGTGTCACTTTGAAATGATTACTGATAATCCATCATCATATTTATGATCAATAAGCCTCGTTTTCAGTTTTCAGAGCCTAACGTAGCTTTCGGTTTGGGCAAACTGTGTGCACATCCTTCTCACTCCTCAATGGAAATGTTTAGGTTGATTTAGGAACTTCCCCTCGATTATATTGGCTCTAACGGTTCAAAAGAGGTGTCAATCACCAACATCGACCAATGGGTTCCCGAGATATGGAAAATCCACCCAAATGACCCCAGAAGTGTTTTTTTTTTCTAAACCTCTCTAAAAAAGTCCAATTTCACTTGTTTTGCATCAATCTTGATACAGGGTACTTATTATGTTATAGTGTGGATTCCTAAAGCTTTTAGTCTACTATCCCATCATTCAAGGGTAGTTTTCACTATAAGTAATGTTTTCTTTTTGGACAGACACAATCATTTAAAATCTTTTTCTATGTTCAATCTGAATTTACTTTAAGATAAAAACATCTATATTGATTCTGACTTTTCTACATCCAACTCACAGGTTTATCATTGCTTTGAGAAAAAAGATTATTCATTTACCCCTTTTAGAAGTGAAGATATGGTTATTTGTTCTGGGCATGTCATTTTCTAGCCTGAGGCCTGAAAAACAGGCTCAGGGCTTAACAGGTTAAGAGAAACATAAACGTGAAAAATAGCATAAAAGGGCCTCTTTAATATATTTATTGAAACGTCCTTTTTCTAGAGAGTAATTCACACAGAATGTGAAAAATACTTGGCCAAAAGTGATGTATTTTTTTTAAGACTTATGTCGATATCTGTTTAGCTCTGCACAGTGAACATATCACTACCTTTCAGAATAAAAGCCCTATACAAAAATTATTCACAGGCCAGTTTTTCGCTTTTTTGTGTCACTTTTTTGTGTCACTTTTTTGTGTCACTTTGTTGTAAAGCACTTGATGTGTTCAGGCCTAAAGTGATGTACAAAACCAATCTGGATCTCAGGAGGATATAAGAGCGGTTTTGTGTGTCTGCAGTTATGTAATGTGTAATTTATTTACAGGTCACTCATTTTGCAATGCACAGAATCTGAATACGCATATATGTTATTTAGGCAGCTTAAAGCCCAGAAACCATGTGTAAATGCTTATATATTACTTATACTACTTACTTATATAACCTAAAACATGGTGGCCAAAAATGTGATCTGATGCAATGTAAACTGACACAAATAGAAAATGAATGCCATGAGAATAAAGCAAGAATGACCAACAACCCTGCCTAAACGTACAGATCCCTCTCGCTCTCTGAGAAACGAGGTCAGCTTGCCGTCCTGGAGTCATGTGACCTCCCTCCCCCACCAACTTAAGGCATTTTTAGAATATTTCTGGCTTGTCTACGTCATTTTCACTCATGCATTACACTTCCACTCAAACACACACAATCTCTCCGAGTAAAGCAGGCACTTGTTCACATTCGGAGCTGCAGACACACACTGAAACACACCACCATCACTCATTTTCATAGAGTAAAAATGTTGTGGTGTGGCGGGCGATGGTGGCGAAGTCGATAGGGACTTGGCTTGGCAACTGGAAGGTCACCAGTTCGAGTCCCGGCAAGACCAAGTGCTACCGAGGTGTCCCTGAGCAAGGCACCGTTCCCTACACTGCTCCCCGGGCGCCGTCCACGGCAGCACACTTCTCCTAACACTAGGATGGGTCAAATGCAGAGGAACAATTTCGTTACATAGTACCTGTACTGTGAAATGACAATAAGAGCAATTTATTTATAATTTATTATTATGTTTTGTCTTAACCTGCGGACAATAAGACACTTAAGCAGCACTGAGGAGTTCAGCAAACATGTGGAGAAACTTACTTACTTTTCTCTCACACTGATTTCACCTATTCTCAACACATTTCCGAACAAAAACTACTTGAAGAGGGCTTAATAAATGGATCAGTTCATTGGACTATCATGGATATAATTGCAGGGCAAAGAGACGGGGAGAAAGAAAGAGTGTATATGATATGTTGCTTTCACGTTATCTTCAGTTAAGCTGTGGAAAAAGACAGAGAATGAAAGACAGATTTACACAAAAGGCGAAATACCTGGAGAAGAATATTATTTTCCCGGGGCTTTTATTGTGAAAGAATGTAGGCAGTGTGGTATGTCGAGGTTAAAAGTCATTTAGACTGCGGTCTATGTAGCCGTGTTGTCGTTTATATTACACTATACAATAGGATGTATAAATATATACTATAACAAAACGTCATTCGTTGATGCGTTCATTAAAAAAACCAGCCTCGTTATTATAGAATAATGTCATTTCCATCGTTCGATATTTGCGCTTGGTATATAATAAAATGTATATCTACATTTTGATCAATTGTGCTGTTTTGGATACAAGATGCCCCCACACACTCATTATTGTAATATATATTTACTCGCTGCTTTCACGCTGTTGATTTCCATATATGAAGTATTTTCAAGCACAAGCTCACAATAACAACTGTGTCAACACCTTGAGACATGTCTATATTGCAGATAAACTCACTTCCTGCTACAGAGATATTCAATATCCCGACTTGATGAAGGTGATTGAAAGTAATACAGTTTGCCGTATATAGAGCCGTGTTGTTAGTTTATACACTAAGACAGTATATGAACTTAAAAATATAGATGCAATTGGACTCATTGGGCACAATGTGATTGGTTGATGCATTTATTCGTGGTGCAAAAGCTTATGAAAATCAGCCTCATCATTAAAAATACTGCATTGCTTTTCCATCATTTGGTATATAACAACGGTGCAAAACAATACCTTTAAATATGGATCAATCAGACACACTGATTATTGTGAAGTCTTTCCCAGCACAAGCTCACAAAAACAACTGCGGACACACGTCTAAATTGCAGATAAATCCACTTCCTACTGCCGACGTATTTCATTTGCTAACCTGGTTTAATGTTGGTTAAAGAAAACTTTATTTTTCATTTGCAGAAACAGTCACCTGGTTAGTTAAGTGCATGTAAACACGGCGAGCAGGGACTTAAAAATCATGTAGACGGTGTCGTCTTCCTCACACGCACACGCACACGCACACACACACACACACACACACACACACAGGTTGCAGGGTCACGTTAGCAGAGGGACTCGAGCTAATTGGCGTCTTCTCGGGTATATTGTAAGCGACAAAACCACAGGTTTCACACACAGCTGACCTCTGACCTGTTCATTACAGCCGCAGAAGCAGAGAAAGAGAGAGTGACCGAAATGTCTTTTTATCGGTCGCACATCTCTCAGGAAAAACAAGTGAGGAATGTGATTTGAATCAAATCAAATCAAATCAGGTTTTATTTATAAAGCACATTTTAAAAGCGATTTTTGGTCGAGCCAAAGTGCTGTACATGTAATAAAAAACACATTACTATAAAACACAATAAACGACAATAAATTACAACAGATATAACTTAAAAAACAAAATAAGAATAAAACACACGGAAAAGTCAGGAGTCATGCTCCGCTCTAATTAGAAAGCCAGAGAGAAGAAGTGTGTTTTTAATGTGGATTTAAAAACCCCTAGGGTCTGGGCCGACCTCACATGGAGGGGCAAAGTGTTCCAGAGCCTAGGGCCAGCTGCTGCGAAGGCTCGGTGCCCTCTGGTTTTTAGCCTGGTCTTGGGCACTACCAGCAGCAGCTGGTCAGCAGACCTTAAAGCTCTGGCTGGGGTGTAGCGCTGGAGCAATTCAGTTATATAGGCCGGAGCCAGCCCATTTAGGGCTTTAAAAACAAATAAAAGGACTTTAAAATCAATTCTGAACCGAACTGGAAGCCAGTGTAATGAGGCCAGAATTGGGGTGATGTGGTCGCGCTTTTTGTGGCCAGTCAGCAAACGTGCAGCCGCGTTTTGGACTAGCTGTAAGCGTTTGATTGAGGCCTGGTCCATACCCACATACAGAGCGTTACAATAGTCCAGTCTCGAGGTTACAAAGGCGTTGATAACCCTTTCTAAGTCTTTAAAAGATAAATAAAGATAAAAGATAAAGCCAGAGCTGTGGCTATGATATAAATAACAGAAACGTATGCAATTGCTAGAAGAGCTGCTGTGAAATCCAGGTTTAACTAGAAGTAGTTTGATCATGTTGCCATAAAAAGCATTTTTTTATTATTATAAAAGACATATTCTGCTCATTTACAGGTTCATATCAGTATGTAGTGTCTCTACTTTAAAGAGTCCTCTCCTGCTGATGTTCAGGTCTATATCAGTATGTAGTGTCTCTACTTTAAAGAGTCCTCTCCTGCTGATGTTCAGCTTCATATCAGTATGTAGTGTCTCTACTTTAAAGAGTCCTCTCCTGCTGATGTTCAGGTGTATATCAGTGTGTAGTGTCTCTACTTTAAAGAGTCCTCCCCTGCTGATCTTCAGGTGTATATCAGTATGTAGTGTCTCTACTTTAAAGAGTCCTCTCCTGCTGATGTTCAGGTGTATATCAGTATGTAGTGTCTCTACTTTAAAGAGTCCTCTCCTGCTGATGTTCAGGTGTATATCAGTATGTAGTGTCTCTACTTTAAAGAGTCCTCTCCTGCTGATGTTCAGCTTCATATCAGTATGTAGTGTCTCTACTTTAAAGAGTCCTCTCCTGCTGATGTTCAGGTGTATATCAGTGTGTAGTGTCTCTACTTTAAAGAGTCCTCCCCTGCTGATCTTCAGGTGTATATCAGTATGTAGTGTCTCTACTTTAAAGAGTCCTCTCCTGCTGATGTTCAGCTTCATATCAGTATGTAGTGTCTCTACTTTAAAGAGTCCTCTCCTGCTGATGTTCAGCTTCATATCAGTATGTAGTGTCTCTACTTTAAAGAGTCCTCTCCTGCTGATGTTCAGGTGTATATCAGTGTGTAGTGTCTCTACTTTAAAGAGTCCTCCCCTGCTGATCTTCAGGTGTATATCAGTATGTAGTGTCTCTACTTTAAAGAGTCCTCTCCTGCTGATGTTCAGGTGTATATCAGTGTGTAGTGTCTCTACTTTAAAGAGTCCTCTCCTGCTGATGTTCAGGTGTATATCAGTATGTAGTGTCTCTACTTTAAAGAGTCCTCTCCTGCTGATGTTCAGGTGTATATCAGTATGTAGTGTCTCTACTTTAAAGAGTCCTCTCCTGCTGATGTTCAGGTGTGTATCAGTATGTAGTGTCTCTACATGTCTCCAGGCTTTAATGTTCAAAAAGCTCTTTATTTTTCTCATACTGCCTGTGCTGCAGCACCTCTTTTCACCCTCTGTCTGAAACCAGAGCCCAGTCTGCTCTGATTGGTTAGATTGCCGGCTCTGTTGTGATTGGTCAACCGCTTAGAGATGTCCCGCCCCTCAGCCTATCATGTACAATGTGTTGGAGAGCTAGCCAATAAGTTGTTTTATAGTAATGTCACTATGTTCAGGAAGTAAACAAAGGAGTCCAATGGAGGCGTTAAGAGAACACAGGGATTTTATCCTTTGCAGACCATTTACATGCACTAAAACCTATATGACACAATACAGAAAAGGGAAAACCCCAAAAAGCAGAATACGGCCTCTTTAAACCTCTTTCTCTTTCCTGAGCTCCGTTTGGACCAATGTCTGTATGTCCACGGTATATTATGACCGTATTGATTTTTTAATGTGTTTCTGTATCTTCTCTCTCTCTCTATGCGTCTCGGTCACTCTGAGGTTTCACTCTGAACTGAGGTTTTTTTTTTTTAAAGGATATGCAGCACCATGGCAACAGCTGTAACCAAGTCAACAGCAGTGTCCTCTCTCTTAATTCAATTCAATGTAAAGCTTCAATATAAACAGTGATGCCAAATGTCAAAAGGACACAATTATAAATTAATATAGAAGTAACAGAGCTGATGTCACCGGGGCAAATACAAGATTAACACCACAATCAATCTGTAATCATGAAAGTCATAGTGTAGAACGTCCAAAAAAGTTATAATAAATCTTTAAACAGTCTGCATTTTGTCGACAACAATCATAAAAAGTCTTATTACATATCATTAAAAAGTCATTCAAAAAGTTAATATATTTAGTTGTAAAAACTCAAAAAGTCATATCATAGTATGTAATAGAAAATCATGAGGAAGTTATTAAAAATGTCATATTATAGTATGTTGAAAAATTATCCATAAATCTATCAAATTATCTTTAAAAATCCATATTAAAAAAGTCAGTAACTTATAAAAATCAATATATTTGGTTTTTGAAATGGTCATACCCACAGTATGACATTAAATGGAGCAGGGATATAATTATGATTAAACCTGTTTGCTTGTGTCTCCTCTCCTCTCTCCAGACTGCGAGCCGGAGGAAGTGTCGGACTGGTCCTTCGATGACAACTGTCTCTTCTGCTGCTTAAGACGCGAGAAAGTCAAGGTATGCCCAAGCCCCCAGGAAGTGCGCCGGACTCTGAGGAAAATATTCGTTGTGGCCAAACGGCGGTACTACACTTCCGTATCAGTCGCTGGGCCCGGAAATACTTTTTCCCATTGACTAACATCGGGAAAGAGACGTCTGTAAATCGTTGGATTTTTTTTTTTAGCTAAATAATCTACCCAGTATGAACATTTGTATAGCCCTTATTAAAAACATTCGTTCCTCAAGTTGTAAAATGTGCTAATAACGTTATTCTGAGAGTTATTTTCCTCAGCATTATGAACGTGGATCTAACCCACGGGACCGCGCCGCACGTTCATGTGACGTGTTCAGTACTACATGAGTTTTACCTTTACCCATGGATGCACAATAAGAACGGATTATATGATTATATGAATACTTTCGTGACGTTTCGCTCTCTCAAAAGTTGGGCCATTTTGTCTTCATGCGCCAATGAGCAACTCTCATAGGAATGAACGAGGCCCTGCCTCCCACGCTGTATCCAGTTCTTATTATACATCCATGGGTATGACACAACATTTCTACTTCCTGTCAGACAATAATCCACATATCCATGCTGCAAGACTGTCTTTAATTTAATTTAGATACTGATGATTATTTTATTACGCCTTTCTATAAAGATTACATTTTGTGGTAATATGTTAATTTGCTTTCTTAGCATCGACTCAAAGCAGGAGGAGCCTAATCACCTAGGTCTTAATAAACTTTAATAAATATAAATGGTACATAATTAGCATTTATAGTTTTGTCTACTCCCATTATTATATAAAACATATCAAATTTGAGCAAAACGTCTTATCTGCTAAATTGATTATAGCACTGAATAAAATATAAAGAGAATATGGATAATGGGTAAAAAACATAATACAATTGAAAACCATCTTCAGTGCTTTCATTACCGTTGTATGTTTGATAGAAGATGTTTCATTATAATGTAAAACTAAATGGATTTATTGTGCTTCTGAGGACATTTTTGTAAGTGTATATTCCATCAAATATAAATTATTCTTTCAAGCCCAATACATGTTATGCAAATGTTCCATATTTTTTCTCTTTGTGCACATTTTGTTTTTGTCCGTCGTCTTTTTTGAGCTTTTTGTTCGAGGCTCCACATTTTTTTTGTCTCCTCCTCCTCCTACATGTTTGTCATTTGTGTTGTTCAACCATCATGGTCTTGACCCCAATTTAGCTTATGAAAGGAGCGCGACACAATGATTTGGAGGTGTGTGTTTGTGTGTGGATGGTGACATGGGTGTAAATTAGTGAGACTCCCACAGCAGCATAGCGTCCGGTGCCTCCTCTCAGAGTTTCTCATTGGGATGAAAAGTGATGGGAGCAGAATAATGAGTGTATCTCACACACACACACACACACACACACACACACACACACACACACACACACACACACACACACACACACACACACACACACACACACACACACACACACACACACACACACACACACACACACACACACACACGGATGTTGTGTTACCTGCTTCTCCGTCTGCTGCTGTAGACAAAGCACTAACGGGACGCATCATAACGGCACAAAAATGCAAAAATATGGATCATAGTCACTCTTCCTTAATTTACTTTTTTGATCTTATCACATGCTCTACAATTAATTCCAATATTGATAGTAACATGCACTGATTTTTTTTTATTCATTTAAAAAAAGACAACATATAAGAAATTCACTTTTTTCTTTTCTAAAATATCGTTTTTTTCGCATTCAGCATCAAACATAGTTCCATAATAATTAGTTTTAAATGATGTTTGCATCATCATCCATTCATGTTGGTATGAAATTACCCAATTTAGGATTTGAAACTAACAGAGAATAGTAAATAATGTAGAGTAAACAACCAAAAGTATAACCACTAAGGGAGTAAACTTATAACCTATAAGTGAAATTAAATTTAAAATAGAATACAAAAGATGTATGTGCCCTTATGTCAACGTACTCGCTTATTTGACTTCATCATCGGAGGGAGTTTGCCTTCCCTCCTCGGATGACTTTTTAAGGACTTCTTTGTCCGTTATTTCCGTCTTTATTTTTGGGATGTGATTGAGCGAGTGAACGAGGGAGGGAAGGAAGTTAGGAGGGGCGTCCTTCCCTCGGCCGTTGCTTGTTTTTCAACTTGACCCCGGTGCGACCTGCGGGGTCAGCCATCTGTCTCCTAAAAACATCCTTACGTCTCCACCAACCCCCCCCCCCCCCCCCCCCCCTCCATCAGCCCCATCTGCTCATGCTAATAAAGCACAACAACACAGTATTGTTGCTACAGGCACTCAGCGTGAATATAAAATACAACCATGTTTCTGCGTGTAATACAGTAATTACTCACGATCGTAACGAGAAAAAACAATCAACAGAGTAAAATCAATTTACCAAAGCCTGGCAGGGATTAGAGGATCTTTGCAGCATTGTCTGACTGGTCAATAATGATGTTAGCTACTTGCAGTGTGCACGTCCTAATAAGGGGGAATAATAAGGCAACATTTGCAGCAGATTTAATTGTATTCTTTTGCCCGCTCAATACGATCGTGTATTCATGTGTTAGGGCTTGAAAGCTCTCCCGACCTCTCTGTTATTACCCTCCGCTTTTTTGTGAAATGCCAGAGGAGTGTCGGTGGGCGGGAATCATTGATTCATTGATCTGAAGCCATGCAAGCAAAAGAGAAACAAAGAGAGGCAGGAATACTGAAACACACTCATCTCAGAGTGTTGACATTCACGTAAACAGACGTACCCAAATTCCCTGTTAATGAATTAGACAATGGCAACACACACTCACATTGTTATTAAGCCCTTTAGATTTAAAAGCTGAATACACATTTCCTCTTAGCGGCTGCGAGCGGAGTCTCGCCAGGCCTGAGACCTTGAATATCCTGAGGAAGCCGTTTGATTGGCTGCCAGATAGAAAAGAAGAGAAGTGAGACACCACTTCTCCCTGTACTGCCAACAGAGTGGAGCAGTGGAGATGGATTTTGGTAGGCCGGCCCTGAAGTTAGCATCTCCCTGTTTCCCTCGGCTAAAATATGGATTTCAGAATATTTCAGAAAATCTGTGGCAAACACACGTTTATGATACTTACATGTTTTGTTCAGCAGATTCATCTCTACATATTAGATCCATTTTGGGATTTTTGAAGTAAAAAGCTAACGTTAGGCTATAAAGGAACTACAGCACGGTCACATGACTTCACGTCACCACCGCTAAGCTAAAAGCGGCTAATGTTGGGCTATAAAGGAACTACAGCACGGTCACATGACTTCACGTCACCACCGCTAAGCTAAAAGCGGCTAATGTTGAGCTATAAAGGAACTACAGCACGGTCACATGACTTCACGTCACCACCGCTAAGCTAAAAGCGGCTAACGTTAACGCTGTTTTTAAATTCAACAGTGGGGTATTTACTGATGTATTTGATGTCATAGGACAACATGTTAAAATCTCTTCAGCTTGTGTTAACCACAGATCTTCTTTCAGGCATATAAACATAAACATATTAAAACTTTAAGGGAACCAGAACTCCTAAAATGCGTGTGGAAAGATGGAAAGATCTGCACATAGCTGCAGCAGGCTCTTATGAAGGCTCACATCTACACAATATGCAATACAACTGGGGGTTTTAACATGTGATGTATTGGTGTGTGAGGGGTTTATGTTTTGGACAGAACTTGCCTTAACACAGTCTTTTCTCTTATTTGTCTATAGGAGCACAGCGCAGAGAAAGGTGGAGGCAGCCAGGTGCTGTCGGAGCCGTCTCGGATCAGCCGGCTGGAGAGACAGGCCCACGACTTCCTCAATGCTGTGTTACACAGAAAAGGTAAAACACGCACGCACGCACGCACGCACGCACGCACGCACGCACGCACGCACGCACACACACACACACACACACACACACACACACACAAACATTTGTCCGTCATGTCATTACCTTTTATAACATATTAATTGTATTGTTTGTCTAAAAAAAAAAGTGAATTAATTAATTAAGATATTTTATATTGATGTCATATTATAGCATGTCTGAAAGTCATCAAAAGTTGTATTATAATGTCCCATAATAATTTCACATATACAAACTCGTTAATACGAGCGAATAAAAAAAGGTAAGTCCTATAAGAGCATAACATATCAGTGTATAAAATATTTCAGACTTTTATTGCTTTCAATTATTTCCACCATGTTTTTTTATGAAACCAGACCATTTAGGACTTGAACGCTCTTTATTATGGAAAGTAATGGGATATTAATGAAATGGACCAGTGTGGAATTCCTGCTTTTATTGCTTTTCATCGCAATACAATAGGCCATCGCTTAAAGAATATATATGTCCTCTTAATTTTTAACAAAACCAAACAGTGTTGTCAAATCTTCTTGTCATTTTCTGATTCCAAAAACGTGTTGAGTAAACGTTTTCTTGTACGTCTTATCTCTATGTTCTTCAATGTCTGCACTTTGAAACATTATGCATGAGGCACATGTTGAAGACTTCACTAAACTTAATCAGGTCTCTGTTAGAGCATGATATTTTAAGTTGTGTGTCTTCTGCCTAAGTATGCCAATTAGCAGAGTTGGGATAAAAAGGGGACCAGGGATCGACTCCTGAGGGACACCACATTTAACTTTTACAAAGTTTTAAAATTGGAGCAAAAAGACTATTCTGCCCTCAAGGTAGACCCCAAATCGGTTAAGATCTGGGCCAGAGAGGCCGACCCACTTTTCCGACCTTTACTAAAAGTGCCGTCATTACAAAGAGAGGCCATGTGGGAAACTCGTAGGAAGGTTATTTAACACAGTGGAGATTTGAGGGCAGGAAACTAATGCTGAATTTAGGAAGGTTTCAATATAGTGGAAGAGTACACCCTTCACTTAGAGAAAGAGCATGCTACCAGACATAACAATATTACATGAACACAGCTAAATAGATTAAAAACCTTTCACAAAAGGTGTCACACGCTGACTAGGAACCAAGAATGAGAGTTGATGTAATTAAACTGTAGGACTGACAATAATAATTAATATGAAAATGGCAGACTTACATTTTGATATTTGAGTAGAAATTGCACCTTAGTTGATACAAAACTACACCAAGCTTCAGCCAAGATTGGGCTGACTACCCTTTTATCTGGGAGACACTTCCACAAACATTGTTTAAGAGGTGTTGATTCAACTTGAAGATTTGGAGGATGTAGTTTGGGGTGCTTTTTTAATGTACTTCATTATACAGACATACTGTCTGGTTGTGAGTAAGGTAGTCGTCTACCAATCAGAGGGTCACTAGTTTAGATCCCTGCAATCAATATCTTGAAGTGTCCTCAGACTAAATACTAATCTACAAATTGTAGGCATGGCTAACAGTGTAGAGTGTAAGTCTCTTTGGATTTGTGATAGAAAGCGTCAACTGAATGTCATTTATTGATGTATATTTGAAGATGTGTTTTTTTCCTGGTGGGAGGGAGAGAGGAAGCAGAGGTCTGTCAAATCAATGGCCAGCCTTAATCAATGTGGCCTCCTGTAGAGATGTTGCTTAAAGACCGATACACCATCACACAGGCCAGGGCACTAGACAAACATACCATAAATACAGACAATCACTATTATAATAATGTTTACAGTGTTTTAAGCTGTATTAAAAAAATCATAATAAGTGGTCACAGATGTAGTCTAACAACTCATAATCTTTGCTTTTTACCTGCCAATATAAATCTAATGTGCAATGGAGCAACGTTTGTCAAAATCAAACTTTGTCACACATGAAAGTATATTTGGCTAGCAACATGTACAGTTAAAGTTGTAGGCATGTGCAATGATGCTGGCCAATGCTACTGTATACACTGTTGAAATCACTGCACTGCACTTGCCTGATCTGATCCTTTCTCTTGCTGATTGGAAGATAAAACTCCCTTGAAAACCTGCCTAAAATGATTATGCATTGCTTGGGGCAAACATACTTTCTAAAGCAGTTTCCTCTCTCGGTGGAATGCAGAATTCCTGAACCTCTCAAGGAAATGTTTCTGGAAAAGGTGCAGCTGTGAAATCACTCTGCTTTGTTATATTGAGGCGAGACCATTTGTGTACCTATGCAGAAACCTATAGCGTTACACAACGGCCATTTCCTAGCAAGCAAAAACACAGGGTTTCCCAGGAGATTTCCCAAAATCAAAATGTTGCTGTGTGATTAGAGCCCATTTCGAGCAAACTAACTCACTCCTGTTTGAGTGTTGCAGAGTGAGCACATGGTGTATCCAGTAAAACTATTTGTTGAATCAGCTAAATGTTATTGGGGTCTTTGACGCCACACAAAAGTCACGCGTACAGTTTGTTTTACACTTTAAGCTCCTTTTTTGCCATGTCAACAATATACTATCAGTGTTAGGGATAACACTGTGACATGGTTAAGTGAATAAGTCAAATAACATTAATGAGGGATTAAGAAATGATTCACAAACAACATCTGGCAACAACACCTACGTACACACCTCAGTGATGAAACGGGAACACAATAACGGAAATCAAAGCTTATACCACACACTGGAATAATACAACCGCTTTGGTTGCTAATGGCTTTTGTTAAACATTACACATAGTTTGTAGTGTTTTCCTAGTCATTGTAGCGGACTGCTTAGCAAGTCTGACATAAAACAGGAAACTGTCTAAAGGTACAATATATTTGTATTCATAAAAATTGGACATGAACCTTAAAACTTGACAAAAAAAAAATTATTTTAAAGGTCCCCTATTATACTGTTTGTCATCAATATATCACAGGTCTCAGATATATACAGAACCTGTGTCTGATTGGCTGAAACACCAAACAGATCATTGCATCATTACCCATAATCCCCTCTGTTTCAGCCCTGTTTCAAAAGTGCTGATTCTCTGTCTGTTACTTTAGATGAAAATAAGGAGCCCCTCCCCACGCCCCTCTGAGAGAGATTTGGTTACAAAGAACTCAATGGTGCTCTAAGAGGAGATTCAGGTGATAAGGTGGGGGGGGGGGGGTTACCTTGGTTGCTGATTGGCTAATGGTTACACAAGACAACACATCGTTATGACATCATAAAGTGGCCAAAATCTGATCAGCTCATTTTCAGACAGGTTTTTATATAAAATGGATCAGGACAAAAAGAGAGAGAATCTTTGTTCCTGAAACTTTCAGAGTCTCTTTACACAGAGGGGACACATGTTGATGTAGAAGAGACATGAAGAAGAGGGGACACATGTTGATGTAGAAGAGACATGAAGAAGAGGGGACACATGTTGATGTAGAAGAGACATGAAGAAGAGAGGACACATGTTGATGTAGAAGAGACATGAAGAAGAGGCAAGAGGGGACACATGTTGATGTAGAAGAGACATGAAGAAGAGGGGACACATGTTGATGTAGAAGAGACATGAAGAAGAGGGGACACATGTTGATGTAGAAGAGACATGAAGAAGAGGGGACACATGTTGATGTAGAAGAGACATGAAGAAGAGGGGACACATGTTGATGTAGAAGAGACATGAAGAAGAGGGGACACATGTTGATGTAGAAGAGACATGAAGAAGAGGGGACACATGTTGATGTAGAAGAGACATGAAGAAGAGGGGACACATGTTGATGTAGAAGAGACATGAAGAAGAGGGGACACATGTTGATGTAGAAGAGACATGAAGAAGAGGGGACACATGTTGATGTAGAAGAGACATGAAGAAGAGGGGACACATGTTGATGTAGAAGAGACATGAAGAAGAGGGGACACATGTTGATGTAGAAGAGACATGAAGAAGAGGGGACACATGTTGATGTAGAAGAGACATGAAGAAGAGGGGACACATGTTGATGTAGAAGAGACATGAAGAAGAGGGGACACATGTTAGATGTAGAGAGGTAAGAGACATGAAGAAGAAGGTGGACACAGTGTTGAGTATAGAAGAGACATGAAGAAGAGGGGACACATGTTGATGTAGAAGAGACATGAAGAAGAGGGGACACATGTTGATGTAGAAGAGACATGAAGAAGAGGGGACACATGTTGATGTAGAAGAGACATGAAGAAGAGGGGACACATGTTGATGTAGAAAAGACATGGAGAAGTGGATTTTGCATAATAGGTCCCCTTAAGTTGTAGGTTGTTATTGAATATAGATTAAAGGTGTTTAGGATTATATGTTGAAGGATATTTTCTTTATTTTATGATTCAAATATCTCATTGATAGATTGGACTTGTGTTACCTCAGTTTTCTTCCTGTGTTTGACATGGATTTGTTTAATCATCTGTAAAGCATTTTGTAATTGTGTGTTCATAGCACTGTTTATTTTTACATTGCTTAATATAATGAGCAACAATGCGAAATCAAACTCAATGTGCGACACATACGGGTTTTATAAATAGAGGCTTGGCATCGGACTTGTGAAAAATAACATCCATTGTTTTTAAAGTTTGCCTGAATAATTAGTCACACTTTTTAAAACAAAGTGTCATCTATAATACAAGAGTTAAGGATTAAACTAAAGTAGAAAGCAAGCCAACAAGGATAATAAATCATTTAAAGAGGAATCATTACGAAGTCACCTTTTAGTCTTGAGCCAACACTCACCAGAGCCTCAGGCTGCCGTTGGCCTTCAAGTACCAACAGTTCACATTGTAAGTTATTGTAAGACGGAGAAGTTTTAAGAGTATTTTAAGAGTATTTTTCACACATTTACTTAATTTGTTCTTTTAGTTTGAGTTCACAATGTGAAGAAATGGCAATCAAGCTGTTAAACCCCTTCAAATTATACATCTAAATTAAGAAAAACTAGACCATAATTTGAAATATATGAAGAAATAGGGCAGAAAGCTAGCTGGGAAAGCAGTTGTGTAAGGCATAGTTGAAAACGGCATTAACGCTGATATTATTGTGCCTTAACCTTGCTCACTGGAGAGGATTAAGTGCTGTGTATACAGTAGATAAAGTGCAGAACGTATATTATTTTTGGATTAATTCAGCATAGCTTCCAGGATTATATTTTGGGGCTAATGTATTATTTGGAGGATTTAGGGTTCGACTCGGTGGCACGCATAAGAGAAACCAAATATACTATATGTGCCGGTTATAAAGAGATAAGTGCAGTTGATGTATCTGGGACAATGGCAGATTAATGCATTAATAACAAATGAGTGGCGCTGTTTTTCTCAATGGGTATTACCCGATGAGATGAATGAATGAGTGTTTGATGTTTGTGTTGTCGCAGCAGGGGATAATTGGACGTTTGGTTTCTGTAATTCCTCCCAGACTCTCACTGGTCTCTTGGTAATCGTTGCACTTTGAAATTGTTCTTTTATTTATAATCTTTGTGTCACTGTACTTGTGTTTTGATAAATGAAACTGAACCAAATGCTCTGAATGATGATAGAATCTAAGCAGAGTACAACTTGTGTACCATTGTTGGCTTTTTATATTTTATAAGGTTTTTTCAACCGTCATACTCTCTAATTATACAAACCAATACAAAAAACCCAAATTAAATGTTAGGTCACTGGGATTTTGTGTGATTTTTCAACAAATCATTATCTATTCGCCTTTCAATTATAATATTGTTTGGTCATTTCATCTTTAAAATGTCTGGAAATTGCCCAAAAAACACCAAAATATAATTTCCCAGAAGCCCCAGGCAGTGTCAGTCCAAAACACAAAAAGATGACATTTTCACTGATTATAAAACAGAAAGAAGAAGCAAACACTAATTTGTAGGAATCTGGAAACAAAGTATTTGCAATTTTTTAACCCTTAACACAATTAATGAAGCACAGATCATGGCTGAATCATCATGCATACATTTATCTTAAAGTAGCGACAAAGAGCTCGACGTAGGAGTGAAATCGAGAGAGAATCCTGGGTGCATTTTAGGGAGAAGGTATGAGAGCTGGAGCTGAAGGATGGCAGGCAGTAATCTCAAACTCATATGGTGGGCAATAGGCTGGATTAAGAGCTGCTTCTGAGCGATGTTTTGATTATGTTCAGCAGAGCATCAGGATTACATTTCTCAGGATGAAGTGGGATAAATAAACTGGTGAACGTGGCAACAGAGTTTTCCTGGAGTACGGGATGCTGACATGTGTGCTGTTGCGAAATTTGTATTTCCACATGTATATTTCCCACATGTATATATATTTTTGTAACTTTTTAATGCTATTCTATTTCTGAAATATGTTGGACTGTTTTTTTCTGGTGTCTTAATTTCTCTTATGTACATTGCCTTATCTATCTTCTGTTTTGTTGTCTTCTCCCCAGACCTCCCAAGTTTCTCAGAACCTCACATTCCTCTAGTGGCTCGTGAGATCATGCAGCGAATGATCCGCCAGTTCGCTGCCGAATATACCTCAAAAACTACTCAGGACGACTCTCCTCCCCTGCCCAACGGCACCATGAAGGACCAAAGCCTGCCGAGAGCGGCGCCTCTGATCGCGCCCGGCTCCCCTCCATCTTCTGCCTCCTCCTCTTCCTCCTCTCCTTCCCCCACCCCGGGACCTGGTTTCAGCCCAAACTCCGCCGCTGCTGCCGCCTCAGCACCGACATGCATCCAGAGCAGCAACGGCACGGGGACCAGTAACGGGTCAGGAGGAGGGGGGACGGCTGCTGCCTCTGCACAGAACCCCGTCCTCAGCAAGCTTCTCATGGCCGACCAGGACGGCCCGCTCGACCTTTCCGTCAAAAAGAACGAGGATGAGGAACCGGAACCGAGCCAGCCGGGTGAGAGCAAACACACACATATACCTGTTTTTGTGACTCACGCGACCCACATGTTGACTTGGATTGATACGTTCGAGGCATATCCTTACTTATCTTACCTCACACATATACATGTTTTTGTGACTCGTGAGGACCATGTGTTGACTTGGATTGATGCGTTCGAGGCATATCCTTACTTATCTTACCTCACGCCTATACATGTTTTTGTGACTCGTGAGGACCACGTGTTGACTTGGATTGATGCGTTCGAGGCATATCCTTACTTATCTTACCTCACACATATACATGTTTTTGTGACTCGTGAGGACCACGTGTTGACTTGGATTGATGCGTTCGAGGCATATCCTTACTTATCTTACCTCACACATATACATGTTTTTGTGACTCGTGAGGACCACGTGTTGACTTGGATTGATGCGTTCGAGGCATATCCTTACTTATCTTATCTTACCTCACACCTATACATGTTTTGTGACTCGTGAGGACCATGTGTTGACTTGGATTGATTAGTTTGCAGCATATCCTTACCTACATATGTAACTTCACCATATACTCATGCATTATTATTGTATCCAAACATTTTGCAGTAGTATCGTGGTACTAGTTACAAGTACACTTCATTATTCTTTGAAGTGTAAAATTATGAAAATATATATATATAAGAATAGAACAGCTAACAAACAGGAAAAAAAAACACATGAAAAATAAACTAAAACATAATTGGAATTATAGTCCAAGTTAAACTAAAATGAAAAAAAAACGTACGACTTAATTAAAGAAATCTCACCTTTGTAAAATTTAGCAGCTTCAATTTGTTATTAAGTTTGCAGAAATACAATTATTCTGTCCCAAGCTTTATCAGAAGAACAAACATCTGGATCAGGTCCAAGTTGTGCACCTGAAAACATTTTTTTATTTTATTTTGTTAAATGCACATTGACTACAGTTAGCTATAATTAGCAGACTGCTCTCACAGATTTTTAAACACAGAGACTATAATTGAACACATTCAGATCAATGAACAACCTCCTGTTTAGGATTCAGCCTCTGCAGCAGAACACTGATCTCTGTAATAAAGCTCGTGGCTGAAGTGTAATCAAACTAACCCAGCAGGGGGTCTGCCTGTCCGTCTCAGAACCGGCTGCAGAGCTGAAGCGACAGCTCGCTGTTTCAACCCTCAACTCAGTGACCGGTCACCCTCTTTAATACCAGCTTTTTAGAATCTGCTTACAGTAAGCCTCTGGAGTTTTTCACCAAAAAGATTTAGGCATTTACAAACCACCTCATGCTCTGCCATTATCTCTCTCTCACACATACAGGGGAATTCCTTTTAGACAAATTCTGACTCTGATAATCCCCAAAGCTGGATCATATACACACCACGCAGTAGATGTCATTCAGGAAAAATGAAAATGCTCAAGCAATCAAATTTGTTTTTACGTTGACAATGAATCAAATGTCATGTAACAGGGTGCATTGTAAACCCCACAGAGAGCTCGGACTAATGGTTTAACCTTTGCTTTCAGATTTAGTTTGAGGCCATGAGAAATGTAGCGGCAAGTCCAAATCTTTTTTCAAACGGTTTTATTTCCAAAACCAAACTACCCGCCTTCCCCACCAGGTGCGACCATACTGAGCTGCCTTTATGCGTGACTTGGGTTGACTGTAAAAAGAAAAAACTAAAAAGTCAAGTAACACAAAACAATGACTATGAGATAAGATTATACATACTTTTTATTACACAGAACCCACATTTTTGTGTAGCGAAAAACACAATTTTCTCCTCCAGAACAAGATTGATATTCACAGTTTTCCTGTCGCATTAGTTGGATTACTTCGGAAAGTTTATTGTGATGAAATTCAGTCAATTAAGTCTTTTTAGTTTGATTTAGTTGAACACATATTTATTAAACACAGAGCAGGACTGTTTCATAATACTTTGTAAGTACGAGTTGCCGTGTGTGATCTGATTCGAGCTGAGGGTACCTGGCAGCATTAATCTTCACATTGAGGACGAATACATTGTTCCTATAACTCTCTAATACTGTAACATAGAGATGACTTATACAGTAATGTGTTGTATGAAACAAGCATGTTAAAATGGATGGAGATGCTAATTTACCGTGTTTCATTAGCTCGAGGAAGGACCTCATACTGTAATTAGCGTGGTGGTTATCCCTAGGCATTTGTGACTCAAGTGCATTTTGATTAAGATTCATTTTGAAGGTAGATTCTGTGTACACGCCATGTATTAAATGAACATAACTATGACCATATTAATATATTTTTGATTCCTCTTGAGCTGTACAGTTTCATTTGAATATTATTTGTTGTCCGAACTAAACAACAAAAAGAGAGTGAGATTAGTGCAGCAGTCACGAGTCCTGCCTAAATAGGCTTCTGGCGGGGTTCAAAAGGTCAACTGCACTTTAGGGATTACAACAGAAACACACACAGATTGATGACTGAGATGAATTATCAGTATATAATTGCTCTGGGAAGACTGTTTATTTCCCAAATCAGTCTTTTAAAAGCAATAACTTTTGGATTCTTTGAGGCAAAAACCATCAGATAAGAATGACAAATGGAACGATTTTAAACAGCGCCTAGTCGTGAACTAAAAAAGTCTGGAAAAACATTAAACAAGTCTTCAAATCTAGAGTCTATTATCAATAACTCACCATTTTCTTATCTTACCATCGTTTTTACATTTTCAGAGCACATCAGCTTTGCTAATATTCCCTCGACCTTCATGTCCTCTCACACATCATGATTAATATTTTCTACGTGTGTGTGTTGGACCTGATTTGCTGACGAACATATTCACGAAAAACACTGAGATTTCCACACAGCATGTGGCCATATTTCCCAGACTTCCTTGCTTAAGTGAGAGACCACCTGTTCAGAAGCACAACATAGTATCTCATGCTTTTTTTTTCCAATCATTCATAATCAGTGGTTTCCATATGCAGACACAGAAACAAGCAGTTGCAGAAGCTGTTAAAATGGAATTAGAGATGTTAATAGATTGTATTTAAGTGCAATGGGATTGACTGCATTCTGCCTCATGTATATATAACTCACACAAACAATATAAGTATCTAAAATATTCATCTCTTTCTCTTCCTCCGGTTTATTCCTTCATCTTGATTTAGAAGATAATGTTTTTAAAATGGTAAATAAAGATCTAATTAATTCACATACAGCAGAGTTGCCCATATGGTGAACTGCTCAGGTTAGTCGAAGATTGATTGGTACCTTATTATTCTTATTATTGTTAAATAACAAGGTATTCTTCTGTCTTGTTCAAATAAGAGAAATATTATTATGAATGTGATTTTAACAGACAAATGGTGGATTTGTATAGGTTCTTGTCTCTACTTCTAAACATAAATATTTAATCATAAAATTAGATTAAAAAATGATGTTATAATGCCTTGAACAAACAAGTGGCATGCAATTCAAATACATAAATCTCAAAAAGAGATAGATGAATTAAAATGAAGTCCAGCCCGACCAGCTCTGATAGACATATTAATGCATCAATAATCATTATCCCAGTAAATGGAGCGAAGCTGCGAGCTAGTTCAGACAGTCAACTCGAGCACTCATGCTGCATTCATACATAACAGCCCTCGCCACGCTACAACCAACCAAACAGAGTCTCCTTAATATGCCGCTCTATTTAACTGCCAGATATCTCTCCATGCATTGCTTGCTGCTGCTGCTGCGTTTCGTGCCCTGCTATTGCGTTCGCATTGCTACTGCTGTGTTCATGCTGCTGCTGCTTGCCTGCCCCACCACCACCCCAGCTTCCACCTGTAAGCTCGGGGGTTAGTTATTTAATCATAATCACTCATGGTGCTATGTATATCTGTGGAGTGATGAGGCCTGAGCCTAGACGCCAAACTCAACTATATGCTGCTTCTAATAAACATGTTAAAGAGATACGTGAGTTGTCTGACTGAATTGAATATATATTTGAAGCTGAAATTAGCTATGTACATGTCCTTTTGGTACTTACGTATAGTTAGATGTTCATTATTTTGCCCTTAAAGTTGGATTTTAAATACTGGACTTGAACTTGTTACAGAGTATTTTTACAATTAGTTTTCGGAATACAGAATCGGAATCAGAAATACTTTGTGAGTCCCAAAGCGGGGACTTTCACAGAGTTGCAGCAATAGTTGAATAGCAGGTACATTAAAAAAGAGACATAAAATAATAAAAAACTTTTCCAGATGTAATTACGTGTGCAGTGTGTTCTTTTAAAACCATTACTGCTTTGATTCGTGCTCAGTTGTGTTAAATATTTCATTTCCTGTTTCTCTTCAGACGGCGTCCTGGACCTCTCCACCAAAAAGAGCCTCAGCGCAGGCAACCTCAAAACCTTCCCCGGCTTCTCCCCTGAGCCCGGGGTCAAAGGGTAAGATAACAGGATTAGTCAAACCAGCCTCTGCGCCACGGCCATTTTCCTAAAACAACAGCGGAGAGGTTACAGCAGGAAGGCCTGTTGTGTCTCTGAGCCACAGAGCACTTGTCAGTCTTAACACTACACACTGTGTGGAGTTTAGCCCGAGGGAAGAACATGATACTGTTATAATTATCATGATTCAAATCTAATTCAGATGCCCAACCGCAGTCAAGCTCCTCCTTTGACAAAGATTGATTTCACAAGTGGATGAAAATCATCACAGGCAGATTTTATCAGCAGTTATTATTTTACTCAGTCAGATTAGACAAGCTGTCTTGTGTGTTGATTTAGATACCATTCAGACAGTTCTCTACTCGGGTTCCCAACAGCTCAATCATTTTAGTCATATTTAACCGCCATTCATCTGCTTTTGGTACTGTATGCAACAAGCTATGTTCAGTGCTACTTTTTGTAATTTAAAGTGGACCTATCATGCTATATTTGAATAATATAGTGTAGGACCATACCTATATAAGGCATATTTATACTTTTTTTTGTGCAAAATACCAAACAGATCATGCATCTTAGCCATGCCTCATTTTGCTCAATTTGACAATTTATAGCTCTGTGTTTGTAAGGGCAGATAAGGGCAGAACAGCACCATCTAGAGGCCTGGCATATGTACTACAGCGTCTCCAGCGCTTTCGAACGGCAATGGCCGTGGCTGTCTCCTCCTGATTGGTGGAGTTGGCCCAATAGCCGTAGCGCCACCGTCCTGACGTCAGGACAGTGTTCAAATCTGGATCAGTTTTTATCAGATCCGTTGCAGCCCCTTTTTTAGAGATTTGGGTATGGAGGAAATAGAGAGGGTTGTGTTTTCTGACACTTGGTGAGTTCCCTGGAACACCGGGGACACATATTCATGTAGAAAAGACGTACACAAGTGCATTTTGCATGATAGGTCCCCTTTAAAAAAAAGATATTGGAGCTCAATATTCTAGGGAAACAATCAAGATTACATTGGGTATGAGACGTTTTTAAATTATTTATATTTTTTGTTTTAAGTATATTAAGTTCACAGTACTTAAAGGCGGCCTTTTATGCTAGATTTAAGTTTTTTTATATGTATTTTGTGCCTCTTCTGGGACATGTCTCCATGCTTTAATGTTCAAAAAGCTCTTTATTTTTCTCATACTGCCTGTGCTGCAGCACCTCTTTTCACCCTCTGTCTGAAACCAGAGCCCAGTCTGCTCTGATTGGTTAGCTGGCCGGCTCTGTTGTGCTCTGCTTAGAGATGTCCCACCCCTTAGCCTATCACGTACAATGTGTTGGAGCGCTCGCCAATAGAAGCACAAGTGTTACTTAGTAAAGTCACTATGTTTTGGGAAGTAAATAAAATAGTTTTTTGGCTTAATGCGTCACTTTTATAGGAATGAATTGGGCCGCACCTCCAACGTTTTATCCAGTTCTCTTACACATCTATAGTCCACGCCCCCAAGCCCAAAAAAAGAGTTCTGTATAACACACTGGTTTTCTCTTTTCTCCTCCGTGTCAGTAGATCTATTGACAATCCTTAGTGCAATCATTTATTGATGGATGAGTACTCTGCCTTGAAGTCATGTTTGAATCGGTAGCCATCATACTCGCATCCTGCATCCAGAGGGAATAAACAATCAACGCTAATCGCGGCTGCCATTTCGAGGAATGCATTTGATCTGTAGGTCAAAGATGGATTAGTAGAGGTTCGATACACAGTCCTGCCCCGAATGCAGGATTTCTGCGTAGCTGTGGTTGTGGAGGAGGATGTGGGCATAGAAATATCCCCCCCCCCCCCGCTCTCTGGTCCAACAGTAAACACACCTCCACTTGCTTTCTAAAGTGAGATATGAGAGGTGTTGCATTGAAATTATAGTTAATGCAAGTCCCAAATGGCCATCACAAGAGTGGTTCTTTCCGGTAAAATCTAGTGTTGCCTAGATACCAAACAAGGCCAGTGTTTATCCGTCTAGTTCTTGATTGAAATGAAGAGAAATAAAGTTATCAATAGAGCAAACGCAGCGACAGATTTTCAAGTATGGACCTGGCCTTTAACCAGGAGTTGTATCTGATGTTTCAAGACTGTGACACTTCAGGTCTTTTGCCTTTTGTTTTGGACTGACCTTCTGTATTTCGGGTACTTGAAAGTGCTCAAATGTCTTGTCCAATGAGGGTTTATTAGCTAAAATTAACAGTTTGTAAAAAGGTGGTTTGGCCTTGTTCAATGTGATTTGATGGCTAAAAAGAATCAGAGTTCAATCGATCAGGAATGAAGTTCTAATAGAACTGCATAGGATCGTTATAAAAGTCACAGGTTCTGCAAGAGTGAAAGAAAGAAGATTGTAAAAATGCAGATTTTTCACTATCAATAATAAATTGTCCTCGGGAATTGGCAATATCCCAGGAAAAAATGAATTCTCCATTTAATGTAGTAGTTTAAAGGTGGGGGAGGTAATTTTGGAGAAACCAGCTAGAATTTGAAAATACACAGCCGGGAGAAATCTGCCACTTCCTTACAGAGCCCCTCCTCCAACACACACGAACGCGACCATGACCAATGAGGGCACGAGATAAGTGTGTGCACAGATGGAAGGCTGACAGGCAGGTAGGCCATCCAATCATTTTAGCCGGGCTGGCTCAGATGATTGGTCGTGCTTTTTACAGTATTACAGCTTCCACAGATGATATTTTTGCACGGATTTTTTGTCAAAGCACTTAAGATATTCATTGCTATCGGGATGTTAAGAGCATTCCATGGAATATAACAAAAAGTGTATCTCGAGCCGGTTTCTCAAACTTACCTACCCCACCTTTAATGTGTAGAGAAAGGCACACATTCCTCTAAATCATAAAAAAGCATCAACAAAAAAGCTTTTTGTTAATTCACATCCACAATTTTCCACAGACAAAGGACCCAGCAGGTAAACCTTGGCATTGGGAGGTATTTCCACGATAGGCAAACAAGGAACTGCCCCTTAGGCCCCTCAGGACAGGACTCAGTCTACTCCCTCAGGGGCCTCGGGGCCCCCTAAAGGCCCCGAGGCCCCGAGCCTCACCAGGAATCTCTAATGATGAGGTCATGTAATATTAACTACAGGAGGAGGTGGAGCCTGTACAGAGTTTCCACCCCCACTGACATCAATTCATCTTTGACAGAAAGACAAAATCCCTTAACACCAGGTTGCAGTGTGTATTATAGGTTACTGGTTAATCATTTTCTGGCCATGTTTGTAGACAGACCTCAGACAAAAACTGCATTTTTTTGTTTGTAGATTCTTTATTTCTTTATATTTTTCTTTAGAAGCATAACTGATTTCTGTATAATCACATTTTTACCTAGATTTGTTAAGAATTACCGAAAAAGTTCAATCAGATCTGGTTTAAGATGTCCCATGATGGACTAAATGCTGTTCCATCTACTCCTGGTGTAACAATTATATGTTTTTTAAATATACAATTAAAAAAATATTCAATCTTGGCTGCAGGATATAATTACCAACAACATGTTTAGCCTCAATGCACAGTGTTTAGGGAGCACCAGTCATACCCCCAGATTCTGAAACAATCGTTCTATCGGTGTCATTCAAGATTCAAGGCTTTTATTGTCATTCGTACATAGCTACAGTGTAGGTATGTCGATGAAAATCTGAGGTCCCAGGCTCTTCCAACAGTGCAACACAATAACACATAAAATAGTGCAAGTAAATACAATAAAATAGAATAGAAGTAGTGCCATAAGAGTCTATATACAAGTGATACATCATTTGTAAGTTGCGTGTTATTTTATTCTTTTATTTTCGCAAATGCGTGTTCCCATTGATTCTCAGTAGCTGTCTGGCGCGTCCTCCCTGATGACTGTATGCTTACTGTAACAGAACGCTCTATTAGAGAGTACAGACTCCAAAGCCTCTCGTTAACCCTGTATTGTCTCCATCGAGCCCGAGACCGCCCACTGTGGTAATCTGTCTTAAAGCCCCCGCTGAGGACTCCCCACATGGCACAGTTGGTAACTCTGCAGCTCACCAGACTATGTCTCCACTGGAGAGATACAGTATTTCCCTCAAGTTTCTTCTCCCCCCAGCCAGCCGCTGATTTGACAAGCCATTTCCCGCTATGATAAACCTAAGGGAGCATTTTTTAAAGAGCCTGTCCACTGTTGCTATAGTTACTCAGCAGTAGGAGCATTGGCCGCAGCAGTTTTGAGTCGATGCACTTTTAATGCAAGCGTATGTTTCAACAGCAGACATGGTTTTTCAGAAATAAATAAAAAACGCTCGCATAGATTGCATACTTTGTTTATTTGTCAAACAAGGGGCAATTCAAGGAACTCAATTTGAAAGCAAATTATTATCCAAAACAACACAATAAATGTAGATTGTGACTCTTTGAAGATAAACAATGCCTTCTTACAGTAGTAGTTGGTAAATTGAAGATGGTATAACAAGAGTGAAACCATATTGCCAATACAAATGTGTGAGAATTTTAATGAGAAGTATGTTAATATCTACATTTCAGGCCCTTTTAATTGTGTTTCATGTTTTTACAACACAAACTGCTCCTAATAGAAGATGCAAAGTCTATTTGACTTTGTGTTCATGTGTTCAACTCAAAATAGATGCAGTTCAAATCCTCAATTTTCAATTTCGAAAAACCAGTATTTGTTGAGAATGAATGGGTTTTAAAGATTAAAACATAATGACTTACATTCTCGCCCTACCTCAATTTGAAATAAATTATACTCACTGGAAATTAACTGATGTTTAATAATGATAGGTCTAATATGTGGTGAAAAGGTAATAACTGGACTGGACTTTGATTCAACACATTACAGATTTTCATCTTCATAAAAAAATTGAATATGCATCAAACCAGGATCTCAGAAATGAGTTTATAACCAGACATCCGACACTATCCCTAAATTGTTCTTTTTTTTCTCCATCCAGACGTTCCATTAAAGCGGAACACACCCTGCCAGAGGTGGATGAGGACGGTTTGCTGCAGAGAAGCTTGCAGGACGGACTGAGGGAGAACTACGCCAACTCCACCTCCTTCAAGCCGCCATTGGCCCGCTCGCTGCGTATCAAGGAAGAGCTCCTCAGCCAGAAGCACCGCCTCCTGAGCCAGCCTGCTGCTCTCTCATTGGCTAATCTAGAGTCAGCAGGCTTGCTCAATCATGCGCAGTCCCTCGCCTTGCTTGGCCAGAAGGGCTCTTCCTCTTTCTGGGGAAGCAAGGCCCACCTCGAAAGCCTGATGAAGCTGAAGCAGGCCAGTGGAGCTTTGAACGGGGCCCTCAGCGACCTCAAAGACCTGCCTACATTCCTGGAGAATCACCACAACCACCACGGAGCCTTCTCCTACAAAAGTTCCCACCACCACAATCATGTCTCCAAAGCCCAACACTACCACAACGAGGGGAAGAGGGACCAGGGCCACTCGCCTCCTGTCGACCTAAAGATCCCACAAGTTCGGGGCATGGATCTCTCCTGGGACCCCCATGGCAATGAGCTGTACGGATATGGCGCCATGGGGATTGGGGGAGGATGCCATGGTGAAAACAGCCTAAACCGGAAGCTGAGAGCCATCCTACCCAAGCAGAACCGCCGGGGAGGAAGTCTTGGAAGCCTCCTGGATGGCGCTGCCGACTACTGGAGCTCCGACTTGGACCACTCCAGTTCTGGGCCAGCGTACTCCACCTCTGACGCAGAAGGGGACCCCAACTCCAAGCAGCCGAGGAAGAAGAGGGGCCGTTATCGCCAGTACAACACAGACATCCTGGAGGAGGCCATAACCCAAGTGATGACCGGGAAGATGAGTGTGTCCAAGGCTCAGAACATGTACGGGATCCCGCACAGCACCCTGGAGTACAAGGTGAAGGAGCGCCTGGGAACCTTGAAGAACCCCCCAAAGAAGAAGCTCAAGCTGATGATGAAGATGGAAGCAGGAGGCCTGGATTTTCCTCTTGGAGAGTCGGAGAACAGGCTCAACGCAACACCGCGAGACGACGGGCCGCCGCTGGCTGCTGCTGAGCTCCAGGACAATGTAAAAGAAGAGATTGAAGACAATTTCAAACCAATCGACTAAACGACATACACATGTAAACCTCAGTCAAATGACAAAAGTAATTTGAAAATGGATGGGGCTTTTATTTGTGCCAACTTACTTTGCAGTATCTGGGTGAGCACAAACGCAGGGATAATATGAGGAGGATTCTTAAAAACAAACTTGAGATAAACAACTAATCGGATGGTTTTTAACACGCGTTGTTTAAGCAATGCTGTGTTAGCATTTGTTTAGCTTTTATATCCAGGGGCTTAACAAATGCAGCTAAATACATAAATCAAATGACAATTAATGACATTTCCATAAGCATGCTGATAATCCCCAGCCCAAAAACCCTTCCCCCTTTTTTCTGAACTTGATAGACTGAACCAATGCTGCTTAAAAGTGCAGTTTGGGCTTTGGAACATTCCCAATTGGGGAAAATAATGAGGGGAAGGTTGAAAATTAACTCCATGGACAAATAAGTCCCTTTATTGCTCCCCTCTCTTATGGAGTACTATCTGAAATTGGTAAGTGAACAGTCTATTACATTTGAAGCCAACTGTAACGTTTAATCATACCATTGATATTCCTCGCCAGGGTTGTGAATCAAAACCCATCCTCTTATTGCCAGGTAGCCATGACGCTTTAACTGCAAACCTTTTCTTTTCTCCATAAGATATTCTGCTAATCTCTGTGCGGACGAAAGCAACATTAACCCGTCCTTTTTGAATGAGAAAAGACACAAAAGTCATTCAGGGATGCATGTTTGTGAGTTTCGTGGACACTACTGACTTCTATAATCAACTTGTTTCCTTTATCTATATCTATTAATTTGTTTTGCTTTCTTTTGCACTACACTTTTGGTCTGGCGCTTACAGACCAGGTTACCTCGGCATTGTTGCCCTCGCATCATGCACTTATTTTGGTCTGTCTCCGAAGCCCAGTCGCAACCTCATAATGGGTCAGTGGTGCACATCGCCTGCGTACGCTGATCCATAATCAGATCCCAGGGAGCTCGAAAACCCTCTTTTTTTTTGCCAAGAGACAAGTTGAGGGGTAAACTGATTATGGATCAGCCTTTTTAAGGCGGATTGCTACCTCATGAACCTCCATCAGTGTCTCACTGCTGATCCTGGAACGCTGGAGCCGCCTTCAGGTTTCCCTCCAAACGGTGACCGAAGGGAGCTCACCCCTTGCATGGAGATCTTTATTGGATGAAGGCCTTTTAGGATCAGAATGTGAAACCCTGCTGCTATCAACGTGATTATCTAGCTCCTATACAAGGCTTTAGCCAGTCTAAGCTACTGAGTTTTAGCTAGTCTTAGCAAACAACAATACATTGCTGATGTTTTTTTCCCTTTTCTATTCAAACTGCTTAGCTGATGAGTTTTAAACGTTTATTTCCCTCAAACCTCAGACAGTTTTAACGGCAGTTAACTACAACAATGTGCATTTATCGAGGGGTGTTTAGGGATGAGGGGTGGGCAATATGCAGTGGGGAGGGGTAGTTAATAGAAGCCAGGGAAAGGAAGATTTAATATATTATAAATTATTATGACTGATGATGTTAAAGCCAATCCGTGATTTATTTTCTCCTCATTTTAACTCAGGGTAACTGAGACAGATAATGTGGGTTTCAAATGTGGTCATTTCCTGTTGGACCTATAGCTGACAAACAGGAGGACAAGACACGCCTCTCACTAATGCTTTGTCTTGTGGGAGGGGCCATGTGATTAAATATGGCAGAGCCATAGCAGATAGACCTGCAAATGAATCATGACAAAGAACAGAAAACTGATGTTGGGTTTTGGGGAGCGAAATTTCTAGCGGTAAACTTCTAAAATAGCACTTTTCAAAAGTAAGCGAACTCAAGAGAGAAAGAAAGCTGTTTGAGGTTATGCACGTAGTGTAGCTCTTCTCTGGGGGATATAGGGCCGGGAGCGATCAGAGGGCAGAGAGATGGAAGAAAAAAGCTTTAGTGTGAAGACTTTCAGAAAGCTGCAGCTTGGACCCAAACTTCTCTTTAGTTTTCCTCTCGATTACCTCCATGATTTAAAAAAAAAAAAAAGGATAAAAAAATGGTCGACAGCTTGAAGAAGTTGAGTTTTGTGTAGTGTCGTCTTGTTGTTTTCCCTCCTCGCCGCTGAAGCACCAGGGATAGAAAAACTATCATCACATGTTCCAGGTGGGGATTCTGACAAAAGCTTTCTGGTCGTGTGTCTGTGCTCTGTGGTAAATGTTGCTCTCCTAAACACTGCCTGGTGCTCACCCAGTCTGTGAGATCTTTAACATGAGAATTGTACCTCTGTTCAGATGAAATGGTAATTCACTCCTTTTCAAATGTATTGTATATTTTATTTATTTTATTTGCTTTTTTTCTTTGATTATTTTCTTAAAAAATGGCATGCACCACTCTGTTGGGGCTGATTTTGGGTTAGGGTCAATTTGATATATTATGAGAGGATTTCAACACCATTAATCTTAAACTTTTTCTAAGTTATGAATGAATCACAATCTAATTAGAATTAGAAAAATGTACTACCTGTTTCATACAATCTGAATATACCCTCTGTGGTTATTGGTTATCCACAAGTTGATTTTAAATCTTTGTAGTTCCCTTGGCTTGATTGGCAGGTATTTATGGCCAATGGGAAAAGCTTTAGGAAAGACCCCTGAAACAACATTTCCAGGGGATGTTATGCATGAAATGCATCCAACACTTTGCCAATGCTGAGCATTGGAAGTGTCTAAAAGGTTGTGAGCGTTGAGTTAGACCCAGCGAAGGACAATGCACTGAACTCATAGTTAAAACAGGATTGAATCCCCAGTGCCGAAAGTAAAGCACTTGTTTTGAACACACCTCTGAAAAAATGCAGAGGAGCTGCTTAGCCAGCTGTGAATGCAGTCTGACAACGTACAGTATGTCCCGCCCTCTAAAAAACTAAAACCCAGAACAAATGCCTCATGTAATGCATGCAAAGCAACATTACATGTGTGTGTAGAAATAGTGTAATTGGCATCGATGCACAGGTTTGTGATGAATAAACTCCAACAGCACTTAAACCGAATTCCCCTGAGAGGGGCGATTGCTCAAAAGCCAAACTATCTCTGTGTATAATTTACATACATTTTATATTTAAAAATAAATCTCTCTCTCTCCCCTTGAAGACATTTTTGACCCTAAATGTACATTCGGCACTTGCTTTAAATTTGCTAATACTTTTTGAAAATTCAGGTAATTTCAAAAGTCCAATTTCAGCCTCCTCTGATCTACTGAGCTGCATGCCATTTAAGGTGTATTCAGCCTCCTCTGATCTACTGAGCTGCACGCCATTTAAGGTGTATTTATTTCAATTCATTTTGTTTCTTGGTTTGGTTTTTAAATATTGTTTATAGTCATGTGGTTAACGGCTCCCCCTGTCCGAAAAAGTCCTCCTTCTTGCAACTGAGTCTCACTGCTGTTTCAAAGAAACCTCATACTATATTATATACTTAAGAGAACAGTATATATCTTTATATATACATATATATTAACAAATACACACAAAATGAATGTAGTGAACAGAAATGAATATCTCAAACTTAAAAAAACAGAACTGTCATCTGCATAAAAGATGGCACCGTCAGTTTTATTTTCAACCGACTGTTGTTTTTATTATTTTGCTTTTAGTTTCACGTCACGCTGCTTGCATTGAAAACGCAGTCGTTTCCTGCTCTGCGTGTGACAGTAGCCTTCAGTACTGTAAATGTCTCAGGATCGAGCCAATGGGATGGGCAGCAATATTCGTCAGTCGGAAAATGGCGCAGACTTAACTACCTGTACTCAATGTAATTTATAGACATGTATACATAAACTATGTGTCGACTTGGTCAGCAGAGTCCAAGTGCTATACCTCAATCTCAAAATAATGACTCCTTTCTGTGCCTCGTACTTTTATGTATACCTTACCTGGGAGCCTGGCGAAGGGATAGCTGATACTCTGGGAAATGTAGTATCCTCAGCTGTTTCTTTTCTTATCTGTTCATTTTTCTTTTCTTTGTCTCGCCTCCCTCTTGCTAAGGGAGGAGGGAGACGCTTCAAGTGTCTGACTGACCAATATTTGCCACCCTACCTCTTTTCAGGTATTTTTTCGCAACAACAAAACCTTATAGAAAGTATATAATGAGTACATTAATACCTTACAGGAACTAAACAGCTATTCATGTTTGAGTCACTGGATGGGCTTGGTATGGGAGGGCTGAAAACCTCTTATTTCTTCCTCCAAAAAGTCCAAACATTTTGGGATTCAGTCGTCTGGTTTCACCCTGGAGGCGATAAGTCAGGTCGGTCCCACCCTGGCCTGAGAAAGAACACGGTGTTTTTGTTCACTGAGGCTCTTTTTCTTTTCTTTTCTGGTTTATTGTATGTTATTTTGGTGTAACGTATACCTCCAGGTTGAAACTTGACAGGGGAGAAATCAGAGACCTGGAGGGGAGATTGGGGGACAGGTGGACAAGTTAACCTTCTTTTATCTGCTGTCTTGTAAAAGAAAAATATATCCAAAATCTTTTACATTGCATTCCAAAAAAACACCACACAAGAAAATGTACCTTTATATGTTGAAAAAAGCTATATACTTATGAATGCATAGGTATTTATTTTACTGTTTTTGCATCTTCAGGTAAACCAATCGATTCCTCTTTTGCTTATAGGTTGGTTTTTTTATTTGGTTTTTTATTTGAAAGACTGTCAAAAGTGATATAAGAAGAAAAAATGTCAAACAGCAACTACTGTAACCTCACTTAGTAGACGCCACATGACGTGCCATTTTGTTTCAGGATGGTGTGTGATGTGGTGCTACCGGGAAAAAAGACCTATAATGTATATGATTGCCATGTTCCTCTCCGCAGAGAGGCTTCTTCTGTTTCTTTTTCTGTCACGCTGCATATCTGGTTGTCATTTAAACCTCAGGTCCAACCACTTCAAAGCAGCTGATTGTACATTCAAAAACACACACACACAAATACACACACAAATACACACACACAAAGAAGAATCAGGATTTTTAGTACGGCTCGTTTCCAGATTTTTTGATGTAACTGACGGAAGCAGATTTTGAATAATTGTTGTTTCTTGTCGTTGTTCGTACTGTTGTTATTCTGATGGCATCTTATTTTAATTTTCTTAGATAAAAACAAAAAAGACAACTTCTTTAAAAGCCAGAATCCAGGTTTCTTTAATACAACGCTGTACTCTCTCTAGCACATACAGCCATGGAAGATCAGAACGCACACATAGAGACATGACGCGCCTACAGCAACACACACTCTCTCATCATCAGGTAGCCGCACTTTGTGTGGGCGGGTTATATGTATAATTATGAAGCTGGGAGTCTGCCGCTTCTCTTTTAGAAGCAGGTGGGTGTGTTTTGTCCACAACCTGCAGAACATCAGCCCCGCTGGCTGATTTTGATCTGGCAAACTGGGACATTGTCTCTGTGAAAAAGTCTTTGTTTGTTTCGTTGCTTTCAAGAAAGATTGCTTTTCTTCATCTCTTTTTTTTTAACCTACCTTCCATTCTTTCCTTCAGTTGTTCTGCTCTATGTGACCGGCCTCTGATGATGTGAGCATCGCTGCGGTTATCTCCTTTTGCCTCATCTATTTCTTGTACTGCTGTGAGTGACATACAGACAGGTGTAGATTTGTCAGGCTGCTAAAATCATAACATTTGACTTAAATTATACCCTAACTACCATTTGGTAACCATGCAGGAAACTGAATTTGGAAAATACGATCTATCTAACTTTGAGATAATAATCAGCCCATCTCCTGACAGGTACAATTCACCTTGTGTGTCATTCAGTAAGCCATGCTGTTGTCGTCAACCCCCCCCCACCCCTTCCCCCGACATTTGTCAAAGCGGCACTAACAGATCTGTTAAAACTCGCATCTCCTTTGTCGCGGAGTGTGATGCCAAGTGCTGTAAATGTCAAAGCATTTGTGATGAGGTGACAGGCAGCCGCTCAGTAGCAGACAGGCTTTGAAAGCGGTACTGAGTAGGAATCTTAAAGGCCAGACACGCCTCTAGAATGATGCTCATCTGCAACAATCAACACAACAGACACCTTCACCCCCGTCCGCTACAATGTACTTAAGAGGACATTAGGAGAAAATGCAAACTCTGAAGCCAGAGAGTAAAGTTGATCACTTTCAAAGGTGATGGTCAGAGCCTTGCTGTAATGTTGGCACTCAGTTAAAGTAAGAACACAATAACTTTCTGAAAACCGTGTACTAAAAAAAAAGTCAATGCATTTACATTTTGATGATATTGTTATGGGGCTGAATGCTTCTTAGTGCGCTCTTCAATTGCTAACCACAGCCTGGCTCCCTACTTTACCATTATCAAGAGCTGGTGATTTGTAAATACTCAGCCGCGCTCATTAATCTTCTACATGGACCACACTTGACTTGCATACAATCTGTAGGTGCCGCCAGGAATAGGTGATTATATATTTGTTGTTGTTCAATCAGTGGAAATCAAGAGTGCCTTTTGAAGACTCTAATCACATTCTTAAATCTAATCGTTAAGAGTTGGCTTCTTAATCACGTATAATCTAACCAACCGGGTGAAATCACGGTGCGGTCGCTTCAAGAACAACATTCTGCTGTCGATGCAAAAATGTCAAGTGAAATTCAGGTCAAATATGCCCCCCTTAAATTCCAAGCCCCCAACCCTGTGATTATGTTACAGTGTGAAAGGCTCACAGCAGACATTTTCTCACACTGGCTGTTCTCGTCTCCGTCTCACCCCTCCGCCTCGGCAGAAAGCCTTACAGATGGCAGTCAGTGAGACGTGGCAGTCTGAGGGGTGGATGCGAGTGCAAGGATAACATCTAAGTGAAGTACAGCAGAATAAAGGCCGCTGAAGGTCGCCATCCCCACCCCCACGCTTCAGATAAACAACAGGCTTTTAATGGAACGACGCTGAATTTCACCTCGAAAACTAACATTACTCCAGTCTTTGATTAAAAAGTGCCACGGTTGTTCTGAAACTCCGAGAGAAGGGACGAATTGCCAGATCTGATGTGCAGGCTAGATAAATGACATGACTGCTGAAAAGAAATGTAGTCAAAATGCTTTGCGATGGAGTGCATTGCATGAGGTGCCCTTGTGTGTTGCCATGACAATCTTGCAGCATTGTTCTCACGTGGAGGTGTGTCTGGCCCTTTAGATCCACCTACATGGACCAGCTGCTCTCTGATGCTCTGAACTTAAATCCTGCTCGGCAAACACTGAGGTCTCTCCAGCATTCAAAATCAAACATGGAGGTTTTGGATTGAGTTTGAAAGAATTTAGTAACAGATGCAGCCTTGTTGCAGGAAATATGCCATTATGTGTAGATGCTGCTACTCCCTCTTCAGGCTTTTTGTCCATCGCCTCTTTGTTTCAGAGGAAATGCTATTGACAGAAGACATGTTCCTTCAAAATACTACTCCAACAAGGACGAAATAATCCACTCATGTACTCATTCCCTTTGTCATACTTCCACTAAGACATTTCTCTCTCATTTGTAAGAGTTTTAAGAACATGCATTTGTCCTTCTCCTTGCTTGTCTCTAAGATGCTCTCTGTTGTTTCTGCTACCTCAGTCAGTCACGTGGGCTTGCCTGTAGAGATCTTTTCAGGTGCAGACTGCTTCAAGAGTCTGTTGATTTGAAAAACTAAAGTTTGCCAGTAAAGTACAATTACAAACATTGCACAGCTTTTCTAGGCGTTTCACAAAAGTCAGGTCGGCTGGTTCAGAAGGTTCTTGATGAAAGTGAAATGCCTTGAAGAGTGAGCTGGATGATTTCACTGGCGGTCGTCTGATTGTTTGCCAACTATAGCAATCTCCATCTTGTTATTCCTCTCAGAAAGGTGTCAGATCGTGATTGTGTTGCCACTCAAAAGTGTAATGTTTCTGGAGATACAGCGTGATTCTGCTGCACTGCCGTGTGCGCCCTGATAGGGCCACACATCTCGTTCCACATCTCTTAAATGTTGATTTTATTGTCACTTTCTTTGATGAAAAGTCATAAACTCCTTCCTACCTCTTCCCTTCACCTTCGCCCTTTAACTATTTGTCATCCTCTCAACATCCTTGGGCAGTGGAGCGTGAGCACCTTGGGGCTGACAGGCCCTCGTTTATCCCAGGAGAGATGGGTTGTTCCTGGGCAGCCCCCGGTCCTTCACCTCACGTCAGGCCTTTCATACACCTTGCTGCTGCCTCTTGGGAGTGTATGCACGACCCAGAAGCTTCTTATAACAATATTTTCACTCATTTTGTCTTATAACTTTTATCTTTTCACAGAGGCTTTGCCACACTCTCCTCTGATGAGGAGCTTGCAAATTTAGTATTTAAAAAACGGGGCTTATGGTTCTTTCAGCAACAAGGGGGTCATTGTCCTCTGCAATATTGAGAACTGTTTCTTGAAACAAACACGTATTACATGCATACAGTATGTTTGGCAGTCGGTTAATATTTCAGCCTTGGTGAACATTTCATGAACTCTCCCCAGTAGAGATACTCAATATTTTAAAGGTTTTCCCGTTAATGTTGTACGATGTCTCTGATCTCTTGTTTTGATGTTGCAGGGTGACAGGGCTTGACTTTTAGTTTCTGTGTTTAAAAATGAAAAAAAAACAAGAAAAAAATGGGTTAATGAGCGGGGTTGTGTTTTGCTGAAATTGCCAGTGCATTGCTGTGATCCTCTTGTCGCTTCTTTTTGGAGTCTTTCGAGTTATAACGTCTTGAACTTTGGTGTCTTTGACGACCATGTACCTTCTCTGTTACCTATCAGTTGTGAAATCTACACTACATGCAGATCGCCACACCAGCCAGTGTATTTATAGACGAGCTGAGACCGGCTCTCGATGAGCGGATATCAGAGTTCAGTTCTTATCCAGGAGGTTTGGCCGTACAGACGATTAAATGTCATGTGGATGATTCCCCACTGCCAAAACAGAAACTATTCAGAAACGTATGGAACACCTTAAACTCACCTGGCGGAGGTTGATTCATGAAAGCCAGGACATCACTTCAAAAGGGGCTTTGAAAGCCTTTTTGTTATTTTTGACTGATTCTGTACATAATTTTCAGCCAGATACTTTTTCAGTGCTTTATAAAACAGCAAGGATTGTAAATAAGATAACTGTTAGCAGGGGGGAGGGTGGGGGCTCATGTGGAGCTCACCTAATGGTCCACCCCGTTAGTCCTCTGGTGGTCTAACTTACAAGACTTAGACTGTTGCCTTCCCGAATGTCACATATTGGAAAGCTGCTTGTGATGAGCACTGACTGGATCTGCGTTCGGGAAAGTAACCCTGAGTGTTTGTCGTTTCTTTCAGTCTTTGATAATATTTTCCATCTGGGTGTTTCTTGGTGTGCAAAAATGTAAAGAAGAAAAAAATGTTTTACAACGCAGAATACCTCAGAAAAGAAATCCATGTAACCTCGACAACCTCCACATATTGTCCGATCCTGACCATCCTCACGTATCTCCTGGGCACTTTCATCTCCTGTCCTTTCTTCTGTCGCCACGCAGTGCGTAGTGCCCAGTGGAGGTTCCATAGCTTTTTTATACCGTTTCGGTTTGCCGACCTTGCGTTCCTCATTTAAAGACGGAAAGGAGGTCGTTTTCAAGACTATTTGATGCATTGCAATTTCCGAACATCTCAGAAAGATCCACTGAATTATTTTAATTGCATCGAAACAAAATATCCTTCCGTCTTTTTGATTTTTAAAAGTGGGTTTGCAGAAATATTGAAGGCCGACACGCGAAACACTTGAAACCACTCAGTCCCTACGCTGTACCTCTTATCTACTCTTTATCATTGTTAAAAACTGAATGTAAAAAAGGCAAACGCAACTAACCTCTAACTTAACTATACATATTTAAGAATAAGAAATACTCTATATGTGCACATAGATATACCTATACAAGCCCAACACAGACACAAACACAAATGCATATGTAAATACAAATCTCTAATGTCATATACTTGTATCTTGAAAAAGGGAGAGCCTTTTCCATGAATGATTCAGGGAAACAATACAGAAGTCCAGTGCAGTATGTTAGGTCAAATCACTCCCACTCTGTTGCTTCTAGTGTTCGTTTTCTTACTCTGTTCTTGCTTGTTATTTCCCCATGATGTAGCATAGGGCATAGGGGCAGGGCGACTTTATCTTTTTGGTGACAGAAGTAGTGGAATTAGGATCTAGTGTAGTTGTAGTCTTTTCAAGCCTGATTCTGTGAAAAGGGTGGTGGGGGTGGGCGGGAGGTTTTTTTTCTAAAGCGGACACTGTACAAACAGTATATTTATGAAGATGACTTGGACGCGAGAGTCACATTGGGGGGTTGAAGGGTTGTGAACTGTCTTCAGGATGGTTGTATATAGAACTGCTTTACCCATTAACCCTCGCCTGTCTTTTTCACAGGTGAGGTGGAACTGTATATTGAAGGCACTGAGGTGGAACGCGCTGTGTTTTTATGTCTTGAAAAATAAAGACTGTTTTAAATGAAGGAAGGGTGAAACTGTTCAGGTTCCATGCAGAACCCAACAGTCTCCCTCGAAATCTGCTGGGAGCGACGGACGGTTTTTGTTAACGTTGACCCTCTCGATATTTTTGCATGCTGGTGTACATAACCCTGTATCAGTCCTTTTGTTGGAAGAGGCTGGTTAATCCAAAAGCGCTTTTTTGGATGTCGTCTGCAGGACAGGTTCTGATGTTTTGAATATGAAATATTGTCCCTAAGAAAAAAAATCCCTTTCCTGAAAAGAAGGTGTTTGTTTGTCACTGCAACAGCTTTCGTAGTGGTTTTTGGCTAAAGCTCTTTTTCAATCATTGTTTTCCATGTGTAAAGTAACTAAAAAAGTATGTATGAGTGTGAATCTGTGTGGCTATGTAAGATTTTCCTCAGTTTTCTTCAACCATATTGTAGCCTCAGAGCTGTTTTTTTAGGAACATTAATCTACCTGTGCTCTTATGGTATCTCAATGGAACAGTTAAAATAATAGCATTTTTTTTCACGTAATCTGGCTGTCTGTAGGAAAAGACGTCTCTCTGGGCGCCGTACAGCCACAAATGACATTACCCACACACCCTCAGGGACCCTCAACAAACACTGCTCTCACTCTTATTCAGGTACTTAATCTACACCGAGTTTTAGCAGTGAGCAACCTTATTTATCTATGGCTTATTTTCGTAAATTGGTTCCTAAAAAGACAAAGATTACCACCAAAATCCTAAACGTTTAGAAGCAGTTCTTCTCAACCTCAGAGTTTTGCTATTTTATGTTCAATTCTCACGATTATTCAATTATATTCTTTAGCTTTCTATGTCTCTTTTTTTAACACTGGATATTTTTTGTATCTTATGAATGTCAATCTTCTCAGTTCAGGACTGTTCTTTGTTCGCACTCTGTTCTCTCTCTGACTTGTGTTATGTGGCTTTTATTCTGTGCCGAGCATCAACGCACTTATTCAATATAGTATGGCTACAAAGCACCAACGCAACAATGACTTACACCAAGCTGACCTCTTACAACACATTCTTACAAGTGCACAATACAGTGGTTTGGCTTTTAAACCGTGTTTTAAAGCCTCCACAATCCTTCATACAGTATGTCGGTTTATTTTCAGGTATCCATCTAGTGGCTCTCTTTGGCGCTAATGGAGTTAGACACAACACATAGGAATGTGACAGTTCTGCCTTCAGTTCTTTTTACGCTTCAGGGAAAACGTTGTAAGCCTCTTTTACCGCTAGTAAAAGCATAAATGTCGGAGCTCAGCTGGACGTTGTATGATCAAAGCTGAAGAGCTGTAGAGCTATGAAGGAACACAGAGTCAAACCGGGGCAGAAAGATCTGCAGTTTTCAGTGAAATTGTTCTTATTTGTTCATTGCCGTTTTGAGACAGCTACTCTTCTCTGCTGTGATTGGTTAAAACCTCTATATGCTATATGTTATGTTGCTTAGCGTCTGTGTTGCTGCACAAAGCTTGGTCAATGCCATGGATTTCAGAAGTCTCCAGTAGACCTTAGAGTCTGTGTTTTACTAAGAACTAGTCATGCAAAGTTATGTATTGGCCTGGTCGGGAACACAGGAGTGTATTTGCCTAACTTGTGTACCTCTTACAACAATCAAATTAGTGACGTTTGGTGAGAACTGTGTTAAAACTATTACAAAATAAGTTGTATACCATGTTGTAAGAACTCTTAAGATTACTTTTTACATTCCTGATGTTGGTTTAGGTAGTAACCTGATGTTCTCGTGCTATACATAGCTCTGATTGGTTTGGAAACAGCTTGTAATATTTGAGTAGACGCAGGAACTGTTGTCCAGGGGTTTGGGTCGAACAACAAACCGCCTATTTTCTTCTGTCTCGATATTTGTCCTGCTGAGGTTTCTAACGTTTGAAATCTCTCCTCGGTTCTTAACGGGTGGCTGGACGCCCCTCTGCAGGGCCTGCCGTGCCGTTTCCACTTTCCTGCTGAGATTTCGTTTTTGGGTTTGACGATATACCTCATTCCTTCAGTCCGGCGGGCCCTAGGGGGCGCTGTGCCGATGCTCAGGACGCTCAAGCCCCCTCTCACGATTTGGTCCCACTTGGACTGTACCTCTAACAAACTAATATAAACATGCATACACACAGGTTCTCCAAATACCCAAATGGACCTCATTTTTTCAATATCTACTGTTTACAGATTGACAAAAAATTGTATAATTTAAAAATATTTTTCTCATATTGTAGTTTTATTTATGTACAATATTTTTTGTTCTTATTTTGTACCTTGTGAATTGGACTTTTAATCTTCTAGGCTTATATTATCGATGTCCGTGTAAATGAGCACTTAACAAGGATCACAATAATTGGTTTTAGTTTGATTGACTGCACTACTTTATTTGTCTCCCTGTTTTGAATGCTGAATCTGATATTCTGATTGGGCTAATGAATAATGAATTGTCTCATGTCTGTGATTTTTATTTTGAGAAAAAGATGAAAAATGATTTGATTTCCTACTCTTTTTTTTTTTAAACTTCATTTTGCATTGAACGTCAGGCGACGCTGATTAGATCTGTCTTTGTGCATGTGTAAAATATTTTACTGGTTATGTTATATTCAATTTGGTAAAAAAGAAAATTGCCATTGTTGCCACACATTTCAGCTGTAATGTTGTGTAAGGTAGTATTCACTGGATGCTAGAACCTTCTTTTCAAAACCACTATTCTTCTAATAAATTTTGTTGTGAAAATAAACGCCTGTCTCATTTGTGTTGATTTGTTTCCATGTAGGAGTTGCTTAATATTTTATTTATTTATTTTATTCAGTCAGATGGCTAAGTTATTATATTATGTTGTCAGGGATGCAAACTTGTCACCTTTCGGCGAAATTCGCCGTTTTGAATCCAAAATAGATCGTTTGTGTGATTCATGTAGATCTACAATAAAAATATTTTTGGGGTATGGGGGGGGTCTGGGACCCGGAGTAATCTGCGGCCGCGAGCTGTTATGTGCCATCATGACACGCATGGTGTTCTTTTTTTATATATATTATAATGAAGCGCGAGCTGTGTGCTCGAGTCTTCCTGCCTGTCGGCTCTGCTCATGGATGTATAATAAGGCTCTGCTGCTCCGCGATGAGGGTCTAGCTTCAGCAGCTAGATTACCTACGGGTGCGTTCGTTAATATTAACTGTGCGGTCCGGAGTCACTGTGGCACAGACTGGACCGCTGGTGAACAGCTGTTAGAACGGGCCGTTCAGGTGTTCAGATCAGAGCTCCCTGTCGGTCGGAGCGGCAGAGCGTGATGTGCACTGAAAAGTGTTCCTGTCGCAATATTATCGTTGAGCTAGCTAACAAGCATACATTGTCACTATCTGCTAACGTTAGCTTTAGCCTTCGTTTTCAAATAGTTTTTTTCATAACTTGAGTAAAAGTAAAAGCACTCAGATCTTGTACTAGAGTAAAAGTAGAAGTACTCAGATCTTGTACTAGAGTAAAAGTAGAAGTACTCAGGTCTTGTTCTTGAGTAAAAGTAGAAGTACTCAGGTCTTGTACTTGAGTAAAAGTAGAAGTAGAAGTCCTGCATTCAAAATGTTCCTCAAGTAAAAGTAGAAAAGTATTCTCATCAAAATATAGTTAAAGTAGCGACAGTAAAAGTAGTCATTGTGCAGATTGGTCCATTTCAGAATAATATATATGATATGTTTTATAATGATTGATCATGAAAGTGTTCTCAAAGCTGGTAAAGGTGCAGCTAGTTTGAATGACTTTGTATACTGCAGGGTAGCTTGTGAATTTACTCCAGGTGGAACTAAAGTCTGATTTAACACTTGATTATATTTCACATCATTCATCCACTGTAAAGTAACTAAAGGTATTAAATACATGTAGTGGAGTAGAAGTACACCATTTACCTCTGAACTGTAGTGGAGTAGAAGAACAAAGTAGCAACACATTGACAATAAAGTATCTCAAAATTGTACCCAAGTATAGTACTTGTTGAGTTTATGAACTTAGTTACTTTACACCACTGGCTATACAGATAGAAAGACTAAGCCTTGCACAGAGGCATGAAAATACATTTTCAAAATGCTCAACAGTGCTGACAAAATTATAAACTGACTGCTACACAATTCAAATAAATGCTTTTATACATTTCTATTAGATGTGACTCTTTGGCGTTTCTGTTATTATTAACTGCTTTAGTTGTTCTGACTGCTAAAATCCTGTTATTCCTCATTTTAAAGCCGATATTCCGTGGGGTCGGGGGGGGGGCTCGGATCCTTGTCACCTTTTTCATGCCTGATGAGTTTGCATCCCTGGTTGTGGTTTTAAATAAATAGTTCAATTAACAAGTTTCGATTAATTATACGTACAAACTTTACAACGCTCTTCTCCACTTCAAATTCTGAGTAATTTCTCCTGCTTTTTTAAAATATATAATAATATTAGCGATGATATAATAGAGGCATTAGAACAGGCCAAAGGCCACCAAAATGTGGCTTTTAAGTCCGAATTGTTTCACTTAAAGGGGACCTATCATGCAAAATGCACTTTTGTACGTCTTTTATACATGAATATGTGTCCCCGGTGTTCCAGGGAACTCACCAAGTGTCAGAAAACACAACCCTCTCTATTTTCCTCCATACCCAAATCTCTAAAAAAGGGGCTGCAACGGATCTGATCAAAACTGATCCAGATTTGAACACTGTCCTGACGTCAGGACGGTGGCGCTACGGCTATTGGGCCAACTCCACCAATCAGGAGGAGACAGCCACGGCCATTGCCGTTCGAAAGCGCTGGAGACGCTGTAGTACATATGCCAGGCCTGTAGATGGTGTTGTTCTGCCCTTATCTGCCCTTACACAAACAGAGCTAAAAAATGTCAAATTGAGCAAAATGAGGCATGGCTAAAATGCATGATCTGTTTGGTATTTAAAAAAAAAAAAGTATAAATATGCCTTACATATAGGTATGGTCCTACACTATATTATTCAAATATAGCATGATAGGTCCACTTTAAAGGGCATTCCCCAGAACCACCCAGACTCCACAAAGACCAGATTTAAACTCAACACTATACGACTAATTGTTAGGGCTGTGAAAACGGAATGCCTTTATTTCTAAAGAAGATCTTTTTTGTTATTCATACATTTTGTCAAAGCTTCAATTATTCAGAAACAGTTCTTAAAAAATGTTTTAGTTTTTGTATTTATTATGATACTTTAAGTTCGTATGCGTGACTTGAGGAATACAGATTTCAAATTGCTCAGAAGTAGGTGCATTTTCCGCAAGTGTACCAATTTTACAATTCGTTCATAATGTCGCAATCACATTATTGTCCACATAAAATGAGTTTTCACCAAGTCGTGCAGCCGCACTAATTGTTTTTTTTAACTGCATATTGAAGTTGTGAAGTGTACAGCTGTGTGTGTTCTTCTACGAGGCAGTAAAACATCATGTCCTCCATTCCTGACTGAACGCAGCCAGGACTAAGACCCTCGGTTGACCTCCGACCCCTCCCCGGGTTAACAGCCTGGAAAAGCAAACGTCCTCAAAGGTTAAGTACCGCCCCTCAGAGGGATCAACCAGGAAGCAAACACAGCATCCCTCACACTAACAGACTACACTCGTATCAACACAGCAACAGAAACATATTCCTTTGTAAGTTAAAGACCTGTCACAAGAGTAAAAGTATCCAATAAAACCATAAAACATTGACTGCTTGTTAAGTTATTGATACATCCATATTAAGGCTTTCTATAAATGTTGACAATTTCATTTGAGGGCTGTACTGAAAAGTTTGAAGCGTCATTTAAACATATTTTTGCATGTCTTTTCATTTGGTGTAAAGCATATTTTGGTACAGCTACGGGAAAAGATACACTGATATTGACACTTTTTTAGTATTTGTAGATAAAAATTCCAGTGGTGGCTGCATAGGATTGTTTCAGACTCATGCGATACAAGAATATACAATAACTCCAGAGGATTGTAAGGTCAGAACGTATTCAATACACACCTGTATTACCGGAGTGGTCTAGCACCAATCTAACAGCACCATCAATTAAATTAATAGAACCAAAATGAAGCAAAATCTATTTCTCCTTTTATGTGTAATGAAGTCATACATTGACAGGTTAAACATCTATATTTGGAAACCCCAAAGTCCTCCCAAATATTGTGGTTAAAGGGTGGTTTGAGTCTGACCAAAGTCAAAAGGTCTTGTTGAAAATGAATCAACAATTTGTGATATCAGGTTACACTGGTAATACCTTTCCATTCAAATGGTGTCGTATGTTCATTATAGTATAAATGTGTAGAGTCATTCTTATATTGAGTAATAATAAGTTAACACATATATCTAAATCTGGATAAAGTATCCTCTCTTAATTTCAGCAAATACAGCGTTGTGTACTTTGGAACGTGGATACGCTTATATAACTTGATGTCCAAAGAACAAAATCTGAGTTATGTGATATCCACACTATACAAAGAGAGTATTGGATGACTGTGTTTTTCTTGCAATTAAAACCCCTGAACTATAGGCTCCTGTTTACAGTTATTTTCTTAAATAATCCAGAAATTATGTTAATTTTGGTTAAGGGGACACACAAAATGGATTCACGAACAGGATCATAAGACAATGGGACATGACATCCACAGTGCAAGTAGACTTATTTAGACATTTACAGTAGAGGCATATTATTATTATTAGTTTTAGTTTAAATTGAATTAATGTATTATTTTTCTTGGTGAAATGTTACTGGGGAAATCTGGTTTCTTTCAAATTCCCCTATTATACTGTTTTTCATCAATATATTATAGGTCTCAGATATATACAGAACATGTCTCTGATTGGCTGAAATACCAAACAGATCATTGTAGCATCCCATAATCCCCTCTGTTTCAGCCCTGTTTCAAAAGTGCTGATTCTCTGTCTGTTACTTTAGATGAAAATAAGGAGCCACTCCCCACGCCCCTCTGAGAGAGATTTGGTTACAAAGAACACAATAGGCGCGTTCACACCGCAGTACTTTTCCCACTTTAGTTCCGATATAGTTCCGAAATGTCGCGTTCACACCAAAAAGAGCCGGAACTAAAATGAGTTCATGAGAACCTTTTTACCCCCTTTTCCGTCCCTGCTAGAGAGCAGGGACTTTCGTGGGAGAAAAAGGTTCCTATGTCTGATTGGCTGGGCGGATTGCAAACCACGCCCCGTAAAACTCCCCAAAAGTTTTGTGAAGCCGCCATTTTATTATCCTCGCATTAGCATTATTAGCATTAGCATTACCCCAGCGCAGAAACGCAGAGAGACTAACTTATGGCAACACAAAAGAAAATATGGGAGCGGTGGAGATGAGGAGGTGTCGGCGTTCTGGTGATTTACTCGGAAGGCTTCAGTAGAAGCTGCTGGGACTCCCAGCAGCTTCTACTGGAGCCAGTCCCCAACTCCGGGGACTTCCGGCCGGGGACTCCGGGTGGCAGTATACGCCGTGAAGTTGTTTGCGGCCTGCCAGTAAGCCCAAAGCAGAAGAAGAAGAAGAAGTGACGTCAGCGGCTTCATTTGCCTAATCCTCCCCCAGGGACTTATTCCGGTGTGAACGCGATCTGTACTTAGTTCATGAGAACTAAAGAGTTCTCATGAACTAAGTACAGATGAACCTTTGTGGGAAAAGTACTGTGGTGTGAACGCGCCTAATGGTGCTCTAGGAGGAGATTCAGGTGATAAGGGGGTGTAGG